TGGAAAGCGCCAGAGTCAATACAAGCCCCTTGTGAAAATTCATAGGCCGGGTACTTTTCTTCTTGTCGACGAGCTGCATTTTACACTATACATGATGGTTTCCAGGTCTGTGATTTCGTACAACGCTGCATCCAACTGCTGCTGACGTTCGGTGACAGTGGCACTGATGTCCAAGTCCTTGCCGTTGATGGTAAAGTGGTTGACATTAGGAAATCTCTAATATGGGGTTTCGAGTCTAGAGTCTGGACGTCGTCGATTGATATAGAGTTGTAGCGTGCTGAAATAGACATACGATGACTTGTGAACGCGTGAGCTGAAGCAACATGTTATTATTGTCGGACACGCGAATGATATTTTTTATAAAACTGAGTACTTACGAGGTTTTTCAGCACACCGATGAAACCCAAGTCGAGTAGAATATTACCATACGAGTTATCCTAATATTCATTTGCATGCATGTTGGTTGTTTGAGGAAGACGAACAAGTTCATTGCAAGAAGCGCGTAATAACCGGCCCTAAATCCAATATGTGGAACCGCGTTGTTCAAGTTGCAGTGGCACTGAGTAAGTCTCAGCCATTCACAACCTCTCGAGAAGCTCTGTCGGACATCCTGCAGTCTGCCGATAGTTGGCCATGTCTCACTCCTTTGGGCCAGTCAATTTGCTTGATGCAGAACCCGACGAGCTGGATGTTATCGCCAGTTCCAGGTCAAGTACCACTCTAATTGGTGACGGGTCACCCCCAGTCGAAGAGGAGAAACTCACCATCAGGTTACGTGTCTCTCCTTCCCGGAATGATTTACGAAGCGGAGAAAATATTCAGATGGCGGGAAAGCGCGTCAGAACAACATCATTTTCTGCCATAGACAATGGCGCGAACTCTCAGAAAAGGCAGAAGATACAAGATAAGAAAGCGGTAGGGTTCATCGCTGTCTTGTGGGGCTGATGCTGATGATACTATTGTAATCGATCATCTAGAATACTATAGTCATAAATGCAAGAAGGGTACAACTCGAATCTGCCCGCAGAAGATGGCTGTACCGCCATCATGACCTATTTCAACCACTATTGCCCTCGACTTCATTCTTCGACACGTTGCGCAAGGAAATGAAGGAAACGGGAGGAGACACGGCTTATGTTCCACTTTGCGTCCTCATGACACAGCCTTTGTTGGTAGAGGGCGGTGAAATGAAAGATTATCAAGTATGTATAGTACATTTTTGCCTCACAGCGCTTACCTGAATACTCCTCTGCAGCTTCAAGGCCTTGCATTCCTTATCTATATGTATAAGAACGGTATGTTTTTGTGCTCGATGATGAATCCTAGGGACTAAGATCGTTTGTAGGAATGAACTGTATATTGGGTGATGGTAAATCTTTCGTTCTTCTGTTTCATTCTATCCGTCGTGACGATTTGCTTAGAAATGGGCCTTGGAAAAACACTACAGGTACTTCCCCTCTTCGAGTCCGTATTCTTTTTCTGACATAGTGCCAGACACTATCCCTCTTTGCACATATTCAAGAGAACGAACCGGGTACGACACCTATAGTTATTCTGTTTTAATAAATGCTAAGGATCTGTGAAGGCCGTCATGATCCCCATCTTATCATCTGCCCTCTTTCTGTTTTGTCATCCTGGCAAAATGTAAGATTTGTCGTTCTAACTTCAACCATGTCTCATGTTGGCCATATATTTAGGAAGCTGCCCGTTGGGTACCCTCATTGCGCGTATTTCGCTTCCACGGCACTCAGTCAGAGAGAGATCGACTCAAGAACAGCGTCAGGAACAACGAAATGAAATTCGATTTATGCATCACAACTTATGAGGCGTATGTTTGTGAGGACAGTTGGTTCAAGAGCCGACGATGGTTCTATTGTGTTCTTGACGAGGGACATAGGATCAAGAATTCTGATACCAACCTTTTCAGCAAAATCCGGGGCGTAGGTTCCTTGTACCGACTCGGTAAGGCGTTTCCTTTTGCATTGGATTTTGTCATCTCACCGGCGTGTCCTGCTAGTTCTTACGGGCACGCCTGTGCAAAACAATCTGGTCGAGTTATGGGGCCTCTTGAGTTGGCTATACCCAACCATATTCACTCCGCCTTCACAGCGATTATTTCACGAATCCTTCGACCTTTCTCGTGGGTCGTACTCGATACCATTCCTAAAGGCTGCGCAGGAGCTCTTGCTTGTCATTATGATGCGCCGCACCAAAGCGAACGTCGATATAGCCGTACCGCCACGCGAAGAACTTACTTTATTCATACCCATGACGGAGGCCCAGAGGTTCTGGACTTATAGATTGTTGACACAAATGGATACAATGGACCTAAAAGAGATATTTACAGAGGAGGATGGCCTGCTGAATGAGGGACGCAAGGAAGTCTTTTCGCACATCGCGTCAGCGATAAATCGGAATGTTTCTGGAGAGACAAACAGTGAGTTCGAACTTTACTTGCCCATCGTCATCACGTGCTTACAACGCCAAGGATGGCGGAAGCTCATGAATCTGTTGATGCAGCTACGTAAAGTCTGTGATCAGTAGGTCATATTTTGGTCTCTTTGTGAATGCTGCTTAGATCAGATGACAGTCCATATCTGCTGAAAGACGCATCTCCTTCACCGTATATTATTGGCGAACACGTCGTTGCCTCCTCCTCAAAACTCATTGTCATTGACAAGGTTCTTGCCGATATCCTGCCCAAAGGGGAACGTGTCTTGATATTTTCTGTGAGTTTTTTGAAACAAAAATACCTGCGCCAGTCCGACACTAACGAGCGATCGTAGCAATGGACAAGGTAAAGGCCAATTGCACTTCTCGCTGATTACGCTTTGATGCAAGGGTATTAGCATGCTTGATCTCCTGGAAGATTACATGGAATTGCGGTCAATACCATACGCTCGGCTGGATGGTGGAACAACCCGCCCTCGGCGGAATCTTGATATCAAACTGGTGGGATGATTTTCTTGCCTTGCTAGCTGCTCGCTGATATCTGCTGTCTATAGTTTCAACAAGAAAAATCTCGTAAGGTCTTAGTTTGAATCATTCTATTTTTGTGCTGAAAAACGTTTAGCATATCAAGTCTTCCTTGTTTCAACAAAAGCGGGCGGACTTGGTACGTGAAGTTTTGCTCGCAAAGATCTGATTTTACACTTTGGTAGGTATAAACCTTACAAAGGCATCAACTGTCATCATGTGCGACTGTGATTGGAATCCTCAGGTGAGCGTTCTGTGGCAGGTCTACACGATGTCCGTTAAAACATTCACAGAACGATTTACAAGCTATTGCTCGGGCCCATCGCATTGGTCAGACGAAAACCGTCAAGGTGTGTCCGCTGCTATGTCACAACTCGCCCTACAAATCTTGTTCCTGTAGGTGTATCGCCTTGTCTGTCGCGGAAGCGTCGAAGATCAGATGCTCGACCGTATTCGTCGCAAGATGTTCCTATCATTAAAAGTCATGTCTTCCTCAACGTCATCATCTTCTCCCAACGAGGATAATACCCAATTGAAGACTACAGAGCTCCTGGACATTTTGCGCAAGGGTAGTAGCGCCTTGTCCCGGTCGGATGTAGGTATGGACTTGGGGACATTCCTCAAAGCACCAATCCAAGAAATTCTCGACGACTCACGAGAGCGGGAAGGAGTAAGGGATGCCAAGCTAAAGAAAGAGACGGTGTCTTCACATGACACTGCCGAAGAGATTGATGAGAAAACGTTGCTCGATGCAGAGGAAGAGGAGCGAAAGCTTCTTAGTGGCATCGCTCAGGTTCAGAGCAGACTCTTCGAGGGCAAGCTCATTAAACGCAATCAAAACAATCATCAGATTGCGCAGGAGTGGCATGAACTGCAGAAACGGGCGCGCATAGACAGGACGGTTGTGGTAGATGGTATCACAGTCGTCGCCGATCATATGGGCCAGAGCGCGGTTCGTGTGGTGTTATCTGCGGAAAGGAAGATGTACTGACTCGTACCTTGATCAGCCGGAGGAAATAAGTCCGGCCTCGAGAAAGAAGTCGAAAGCAAAGCATGAAACAGAGGATTGGTGCATTTATTGTCGAGATGGCGGCGACGTCATCCTCTGTACCTCGTGTCCCCGAGGTAAGACCAAACGAGCATGTGGTTTGGCTTGCTCTTGACACCAGATCACCAGTATTTCACCCCAAGTGTCATGGTATCACCAAAGCGCAACTCCGCAGGCTACATATGATCCCTTGTCCCCAACACAGCTGCTCAGCTTGCAGTCGCTCCACCGCTGAAGCAGGAGGAATGTTATTCAGGTGCGTAAATATCCTCAACAAGGACCCAATCTAATATTGTGTAGGTGCCAAACATGCCCACAAGCGTTCTGCGAAGACTGTATGCCTGGAGGGGAGATCGATGCCGTCGGCGAAGTGCTGCCTGAGTTGTAAGTGCATGATGATGTTCGACTGATGGGTTTCGCCTAATGTATCTCTAATTCTCTAGCGTGTTGTTAGGGTATGGCGCTACGACCACAGCTTACTACATACGATGCCATGAATGTCATGAACATTGGGAAAAGGAGCCGCGGGCCTGGAAAGCCTGGGAGGAGGAAATGGCTGAAACACAGGCGAAACTAGAATCCTTGCAGACCACATAGAGCATAGGGATGTCTTTACGTGCGTTTGATTTGGCATGTAGCCTACACTTTGTTAACTCACTACTCACAATTTTGTATGTATTTTAACATTGAACGATCTGGTCTTTAGTAGTCAAGCAGGGAGTAATATCATGGGCCACAAAGTTCAAGTTTAGGCTTGGTGATCGAAGTTTGGTTATTGGTCCCCGCGGTGTGACGTCACTCTTGGCTGCCAGTATAAAACCTCGTCTCCGCTCTGACACACTCGTCAACTTTATCAATAATGACGAGCAACTTACCACCGAAAATCACACCTGTACCATCTGGCACGCCTCCTGCCGAGTGGGCGAGCAAAACTGAGTCCATATTCCAGTCTGACGTTGTTACCCCTGATCCCGCTATGAGGACGACGCCCAAGCCTGGACAACACCCAGTCGCAACCACGACGAACTTGAACACCCCAGGTCACGAATTTCCGGGCTCATATCCCAGGGAACTCGAGCAAGAGAAATCCCGCGGCGATGGGTCTGAAGGCCCTGCGGCTGGCGCCTCAGTTGTTCAAACCGCGAAGCAGTACATGCCGGAACCTGTGGGGCGCACGGTCGACTATGCTAGTAAGACAGCAGCTGCATACATTCCTATTCCTCAGGGCGTCAAGAAAACAGTGGCTTCCTACTGGTGTGCGTGTGCCCCCTATCTTGTGCTCGAGTTGTCCTGACGGACTTTTACCAGCGAACGAGGAAGATTCTCAGCCTAAAGCGACTCAGTCTGAGTTGGACCAACATCTGTCTACTTCTCTTCCAAGTTCAGAGTTAAAGGGCGCCCAGCCTCATGAACACGTTGGCGGTGTTGGTTCCCTGCCAGGAACTATCTCAGAATCAAGTGTCGCCTTACTACCCGATGAACGGGCAGAGAAAGATGCTCAAAGACCGGTAAAATTGGCAAAGGACGAGTCTCAAACACAAGGTGATAACCAGGCCAAGAGTGCCGCCTATCCTTCCGGTGCTGCTGCGGTTGCTGCGAAGCCAGAGGTAAGTACGACTATGTTTGTTTCCACCTTGATGTCTCTTCCTTTTCTTCGCGATGTTTATTTTTGGGCGAGTTGGCGCAAACCATGGTGCACTGCAGCGCTGACTCGGCCCGGGAGATTGTAATGATGTGCATTGTCCGCGGATGAGGAATTAGGCTAGTTTGTTTTACTTCTCTTTACATTCCTCATTCTTTCTGTCGTACTGCCTTTTGGCAGCTGGCGTGTTCCGGATTTTGACATGCTCGTTTTGGGTTTCGACGTCGATGTCGCGGAGCTATTGACAGGTTCGATCATGACCGTACCGAGTCATTTCCTGTCATTCTATGGTCGTGACATTCAGTCATGACAATTTATGTATTTTCAATTTCCCCTCCTACTTTTCGGATTGTCCCTTCAAATGTCGATGTTTCAGACTCCAACCCACTTGCACTTGATGCGGGGACGGTTGGCTATGCCATGTTTATCTATCATATTCTACTTCGGGATTTTCTTCTTGAGTGCCACGCTTTGTTAGACTTGCTCGTTTGTCTATTATACATATTCCCTCCTAGTTGTTGTGCTTGGAATCTGACGACGATTGACCTCATTGTAGCCTTCTATTCTTTCGAAGGAGCTGTCCTCTCGGGCTCAGTCCAGCCAGTATGGGACGCAGATGGAGCCTCAGCAACTGGACAAATCACCTACTCAGCAAACGGATCAGTATCCCGCAAAGCTTTCTGATCCAAAGTCTATGTCTGTTGATAACACTCCAAAGCACGAAGTGCTGGAAGAGCAACGTTCGCTCGAGACTGAGACAGCTGGTGTTGGCGGAACTGCCACAGGAGCGGCTCAAATACGTGATCAACCACCAAGCGAGACAACAGAGAGTCAGGCAGCCAAAACTGCCGTTGTGGGAAGTGCAGGAGGTGCCGGTGAGTTGGCGAATGAAGGTATGTGCATATCGATTGACACTTGTTCTATAAGCTAATCACGGTACAAGCGGGTGTCGAGGACAAAGCTCGCGATAACAAGGAAGTTCCGGCACGGGGTCAGGGAGCAACCGCGCCACAGCAGCCTGGGGATAAAGAGTTGACAAAGAATCAAGACGTCAAGAATAGGACGGGCGATGTAGGCAAGGCAACCGGTGACAGGGGTAGCGATGAGGGTATCAAACACACTCATAAAGCTGGAGCACGCACGGGAGGTTACGATACCGATTACCACCCGGCAAAGTTGCATCCGCCGCCCGTTCAAGTTGGTGAAAGCACGAGCCAGGCGAAAGCTCAGCCTGACTCTCCCGTGTCGCCGGCATCTGCGCCTCCAGCGAGCGTTGCAGACAGCTCTAAGGAACATCGAGTGAGTTTCCTGGATAAACTCCGAGGTGAGGCCAAGGTAATCGCTGGGAAGATGACTGGCAAGGAGGATAAAGTGGAAGAGGGCAAACGGATAATGCATGGCGAAGTGTAAGCCATCGCGGAGTCGCGATTGTTTCCCAACCTGAGGCCTAGGCCTGATTCAGTATCTCGTTGTACACGCCAAGTGTTGTAATATCTAGCAGGTCTGATGAGATTCATCGTATAGCGTCGTAATATGATATCATTCTCTGCCAGTTAGCTAATCACGAGCCTTATCTGCAAGCTGAAGCTCTCCAAGACAACCGGTATAACGAGCAGTCTGATTGGCTGTGGCCAATTAGTTTAGGCATGAGTCACAACGATGAAACGTATCATAGGTGATTGAAACCAGTGTGCCTGAACATTTCTGTCCGCACAGAAGGCTGGCCAATTTCTTCTATGCAGATGAAAGAACAAATGAAAAACAATCCGCGGAAGGAACTCAGCTGGCGTCAGGCCGAGGCTACCAGAAAGTCGTCGAATGAAAAGGGCCTCTTCATGATCCGGCCATTATTAATATTAATAACTATCGCAGGCATTCATTCAAAACATCCGCGTGTCATTGAAGGCCATTCAAAGATCCACGGAGACAAACAGTTACTCACTGAAAGCAGAATTCACGAACACAGAGGATGAACTTCAGGGCCCCGATCCTGGTCGTTGATTCACACATTGACAAGCAAGCATGGGACAACCCGCCGAAAATGTTTAGGACAATCTTTTAGAGCAGTGAATTTGGCAGTGTTCGAAAGAAGCGACATGTGGAGATTATTCTGAGGGATACTACGAGGAAACTCGCCGCGCGCGACTCGGAGGCCTTAACTTTAGAGTTGCTTCAACTTAAGCCTGAATATTATGTAATCGAAATTCATACGAATCCGCAGTGATGACATAGAGACGAGGAAATTTTCATATAGCATCCTGTTTCTCGCTGCGGACTCGTCAGAAATTACTCATTCATAGTAAAAGTACCAAGTTGGAACATCCCAGGATCAGTCCGGGTCTGTAGTTTACCTGCTCCATGAAGTTCCCATAAGCTACATCGGCTACTTGTGACCGTCGTTGCCCAGATGCCAGACCTCGGCTCATCTCCAGCGTGGTAGCGCAGCATAGTCGTGTGTACAATGCATGCGCACGGCATGTGCACCAGATGGAAATGAAGATGTAAGAAGCGCACTATCGTCACTGGCATTGTCGCCACATGCTCGAAGCCACAAATGACTCGTACAGATTTAGACCGAGCGCAAAAAGTGAAGAGACTCAATAGAACAGGATAGAACGCCACGGTGCTGGAGATGGCCGAGTATGTTAAACATCTAAGCGAGTGTGGAGGCCAGCGCTATTAGCTCTAGCGCTTGCTTCAGCGTGCGAGTGATACGGTTGTAGACTGGTGAATAATTATAATCAATCATGTGAAAGATGTAACTCTGGTATACCGGAGCTGGACCACGTAATTGCCAACGTAAAAGCTCGTGAACAGAATCAGGGCCTTTTCTTTTCTACCCTGCCTACTTTTGAGTGTGGGGCTTGACGATACGTGGAGACCCACGGAAATGAAATATCCATTACCTTTGTTCTGGTTTTTGGGACTTATCCGAGGACTGAGCGCCGCTGATGTGTTCTTTACAATGCCTTGTCACGCCGGCCGTTGGTACGGTCGGGAAGAGTATGGATACAGCAAGAGATAAGTGAGAAAAATACTGACGGTTACCAAGGGACAAAAATGAATGCAGGATATCTATAATGTCTGAGGCAAAAAAAAAACTGTTCGGGACGAAAGAGGGGGGGAGGACTATAATACGACTTTGAACCTGTTGAGTACTCGTCTGTCTTCCGCGGATAAGGGGGTGTAAGTCGTTGAGGAAGGATGTCCGAGTTGTGCAGATTGTGAGGGATGATGTTGTCGAAATTCTGGAGTATCACGTAGACCAGTTAGAATCGAAATGCTAGGCAGTGACGTCTCTGCACGCCCAGGCCCTATGGCAGCGCCTGGTGATGGCAGAGGTCTTGAATGATGCTTGGTAGGAGATAAAGGCATTGATGATGACGAGGACGAGGAAGACATTGGGGATCGGGGAATTCCTTGCAGCATAGAATGCTGACTTGTGTGGCCATGTAGATGACCTGCCAAATTGTATGGCTCCATTCCATCGCTTGTATAAGAGAAGCGATCGGTGCGAGATCCGTTGGCTTTGCTAGAGACAAAGACGCTAGGCGGAACTTTCAAATTTCGAAGGTAATCGTAACTCTCGATGACAGGAAGTTGAGCATAGTCATCCCCCTGTTGCGATAATGAACAAGAGTTCTTCTTGAATCGTGAAGACCAAGCTTACTGTGAAGTATGCGACGACATGCCATTTACGCGGGAGACTTGAGCCCGGAAGGTAGACTAATGCGGAGTAAGTTTGTTTTGTCAGACCGTTTGGACGATTGGGACGATCTTTTCGTCTGTTTGTTGGAGGAGCCACGGCGAGTGGATCCGCAGTACGAAGCGCTCTACGATGCAGTGAGTACACTAAAAAATATACTTATTCAAATGACAAACCTTAAAGCAGCTTTAGCATCTTTCTCTTCCTGAGTTGTCTCCATCTTCTCCTCGTAGAATAAGTAGTCACCACGCATCCGACTTTGCGACCTAGGAGACACAGGTCATGACAACATCTACGTAGAAGGCAATGTTGAATACCATCTACGTCCGTCTGTCCAGCGTAGGAGTCCTCCATCGTTCTCGGCCTCCTCCCAGACGAAGACGTTCCCAGAGGATAGCTGATCTCTTTCTGAAGCAGTAAGTCGCCGCTTGATCAACGGTAACATGTTGAGGCGCACGGCCTCGAGGACAACGTGCGCATCTTTGGCATCCCGGACATCTTTGTAACTCGTAAGACAGAGCCACTAGGGAGGAGATGATGACTCACGTAAAGCAGGATGCGTCGGAGGTCCGTTGTGAATAACAGGTGAATTGGAATAGTGTGCCATTTTAAGTATGATCTGAGATAGTGATCAAACCACCATTCAAACGAGAGGGTTTTATAGTCTCAGGCAAGCTTGCCATGGACACTAAGCGGGAACGGAGATCTCGAACAACGTGGATAACAAAGTCCTGACATGAGACGAACAAACCTTGTTTCGACGACCCACAACCAGGTACCCGCTCCAAAGCGTTTCGCGCGCCAAAGTTCTTCCTGTTATAAAAACACCCCTTGCACCGATCAGCCGATCGTCCAAATAGGTAGAGAAGATAGATCGGCGAACCTTCTCACGTACCAAAATCAAGTGGTCGGCAAAGCTCGTGTGATATTATTTGCCTTCGTAGTCAATTCGAACGACTCAGCGCATGGACTATGTTCTAGAGAAGGTCAATAGACGTAGCTAAGTTGAGTATCATGTTGCCACACACAAACACGGCATCCGAGTCCTACATGAGAGTGGGTTGCAACTTGAGTAGTCATCCACGTAGATTCCCCACGAATAAAGTCGGGTGAATCAGGCTGCCATTGAATAAGCATGCCGAAGCTTTGGTTTGTTCCAACAAAGTGACATGCGATTGACATCTTCTGCCGCGATCATATCATTGAACTACCGTCCTGATTGATTGGTCCTTGCGTCAAACGTCCAGAATTAGGACCATCGCGGCAGAACACGCCTAGTGAATGTCCTCATAGTCTGTCAACTTTGTCATTACATGATGACAAGTGCAATCCCAACTGGTCTGCTTACCCCTGAATAACGACTTGAATTATGTCGAAGGATTAGGACGTGGCTTCTGACTTGCTATCAATCCATGTTTGGAACGGTAGCATTTCTGAAGGAGCTGACACTGCGATGATATGGCTGAATTGGTGCAATCCATGGCTTCATCTGAGAAAGATTTACCGCGCTGAGGTGCGCCGAGACTCATCTACAAGTTACAACCAAGATGAAAAGTGAACAGGTTGAGCAGCTTAATAATCACCAGTGTACAGTTGACGTGGGAACCCGATTCAGGGTGCGCCGGTTTTACCTCGTGACTGGTAGGTTATTTCTGCGCGAAAGACGAAACCGTTGAGACCAGAAATTACTTGCGAGAAACAGCTGCTTTTGCCGCGCGCGCCACAATAAGATTTAGTTCTTCACTTCAAGCTCCGCAGCAAACTTGAAATAGACTTCCGCAACAGGGACATGGTAATTGAGTTCAATTCTGACCACATCGTGATTGTGACTGCGGTATCATATGAATGTTTAAGATGAATGGGTAACTGGCCTAAGGCTGCGGATAGGAATTTAGGTGACGTAATTCATCCGGTCGAGTGACACTCTGCCCAGAACCAGCACTTGGAAAAAGGGACATGAGAACATGTCGAAGCTCACTGTGAGGAATTAAGCGTTCCAAAAAAATAGTTTCGAGCCGGGAGAGGGACAACGAATTAAGCGCTGCTACCGCTTGGTTCATCATTCTCTCTAAGACCGCCCCCCAATACATAAGTGAGGAGGACAAAGGTAGTACAGAATCTTGTGCGCCGACCTGCCTGCGCAGATACATATTCAAATTTATCCTGATGATGACAGGTGTCTCACAGCAGTTCGAGTCATCATCAGCAACCCTAGATGTGGCTGGGATCAGTGATAGGTGCATTTATATATGTCATAGGCAAATGCGACCGACTCATCTTCTTTTCAGACTTCGTCTAAGTATCTTTACCATGATACGATTGGCGATACAATTGGATCTAGGCGACCGGCTGTCACCCTGACAGTTGGAAAACATGACATTGTCGCTTAGACTGTCGCGAGTATCAGCGAATGTCCCAGGGCCCAGGGGACATCAAACTCAATTGGTACGCCTAAAGAGAGGTTGCATAACCTTGCGTAATGAATTCGGCTGAAGAGAATGTACTTACTATCACGCCAAAAATAAACGGTGGCAAAAACAGGTGAACCCGTTTTGTACATCACAGCTAGGTGCTGGACCGAAAGATGATACGGCAACAAGTAAAAGGCAGTTTTGTTGCATCTCGGTCTTGATCCTAGGATTCTACGAATTTCGTTTACATGTCGGAAAGAGAGAAATACACCATCCGGAATGACGCTGTCCGAATATAAAAATTATTGGCTGCCGCGGCAATATGGCGCCACAATGTTGCAAAAAATTCCCCAGTGACCCTGCAATGCATCCGAACCAATGTGATTAGTAAACAACTTTCCATTGCAATCACGCCAATGGCAAAAACATCATCGGGATTAATGATGAAAGGGTGCCGCACATTTTACCAGGCGTACCGCACCTGCCAGTCGTTCGTCGGAATTTGTAGAAATTCGCACCGAGGTGGGACCTCCACGAGTCTATGTTCTAAGACGTATGACGTAGAGTTTGAATAAAACCAGTGACCATTGGTTGTTTGACCTACAAAACTCGGTCCCGAAGCTGACACACATTGATAAGCCAATAGACTACTCGAGATTAGACTACGCTGCTGCGGTCACGGCCGGCGTACGTACCAGTATTCCATGATCATGGGGAATGTTATATAGCATGCGAGTGCCGTACAACCATTTTAGAGGTGCGAGCTAAGTGCCCTTGGTGGCGACGGAGAAACAAAGAATGCTTGTTGTCCCGGGTCGCGGGTGAGATAGAGTGTCCGTGGAGTAAGACTCGGAGGCCATGCTGACGTCGTAAGGACGACCGGTGATAGAGGAAAATACTTAAGCCTCGCCATGGGACAGACTCAGAGTTCATGAGAATGAGGGGGACGAAAGAAGCACTTAAGAATTGTGCCTGCCAGTGCGCGCGCCGGCAGTGTGCAGGGCCGCCATCAAAAAACCACACACCAGATACTCGACCCTAAGTACTTACTTTCGCTGTTCGATTTCATAGGGCCGTGCCTATAGGCTGAATCATACTAAGTAGTGATGGTGATGATGTGTAATTGCACCTGATGCAATTGCAAAAGCAAGTTTGTTAAACTTACGTAAATCATGTCCACACTCAGTTTGGTTTTGAATTAGCGACTTGCCAGTGAGCTACTCCGTCCAAGCGTCGGCGACCTTCTGTGCACTACTTTCAACTGAACGGAGACACAGCTGGTTGATATGGAACGAGGTGAGAATACTCTTAACAGATTCTTAAATTATGTTCTCACTAGCACCATGATAATTTGATAAACCATGACACGCCAGGTCATGGCGGGCTCAAAGTGACGGCGGAAATGGAGGATATCCTCAAGCAGCCAGGCTATATTAGCATTAAAATGGGTAGCGAGAAACTTAGGACTATGTTTCAGACACGTGAGTCCCTCGGATTTTGATTGACGGCTTATAGCTGTCACAGGCTCTCCAGCCCATCTGAGAACAACACTAACGCCGAACATGCAGAGTTCGGCGAACTGGATATTAATAAACTTTCACCATTCGCATTCGCATGCATGACTGGGCAAATTCAAGACGTCAAAGCTGTTCGTCTCTATCTCCATGTCGTGGCAGAAATACTGATTCCCCAGTCAAGGCAGTCAGTGGAGGCGTTGCTCCAGATATAACAGGAGCGGAAACGCCCTTCAAAATTGGGTTTCTTTCATTTACTGTTCTCGGCGCACAGCGAATCAGAGGAGCCGCTCCAAATTCTCTCAAGCATCTTGACGTTATCAAATATCTCCTCCAGTGCGGTGCACCACCGGATTCGCCGGATATATCCGGTCACACAGCCCTCCACCATGCATGTACTCCTCCGCTTGGACATCTTGAACTCGCCAGGGCACTTCTCAAAGGTGGAGCTAACCCAAATGTTCAAAACCGTTATGGTGAAGTTCCTCTCTTCTTCCCGTTCCAGGGACAAGACATACCGATCCTAGATTTATTAATGGAGCACAACGCTGATCTGGACATTAAGGACGGAAATGGTGATTCTCCCCATGCGTTATGTGTTGTATTTGGCCCCCAAGTCACGGCGGCGGTTCGCCGGTGGGAAAGGAAGCGATCAGGGGAGAAAGCACTATGGGAAGAGAAGGAATGCGAGTACTGCAAGAAAAAAGGGAAAGGCCTGAAGCAGTGTGCACGGTGTCACACAGTCCGATATTGCTCGTCTGACTGCCAGCGTAAGCTATTGCCATGTCCATGTATTTTACTGACGTGATTTATGCCAGGTATGCATTGGAAAGCCCATAAACCGTTATGCCAGCCATTCTCCACATCAACCACGGTCACGCTGAAGCCAAGCTATAGCGACTTCTCATCTACAATATCTCGTGCTGATATCACTCGCAAAGCTCTCGGCCTTTCGAGTCCCAAGTCCAAGCCGTCCAAAAACGCTCCGTTTACCCGAATGTCCTTTGATCAGAAGTCTATGATCATCAAGGTGCAAGTACCCGTAGATCCGTCATCTCCGACTGCGACATCAATGGGTTTGGGCGGCTTGCTAATATATAACAAAAAGAAAGATTTCATGTGCACTGTTCAACGAGCTGGAAACACAAACGCGTATGATGATATCGTCCGCGTGGTGAAATGCAGAGGTGTTGGAGGGGTAAAGGCTTATTTCGCTGCTGAATTGCGAACTCGTGATGAGTTGGTTGTCAAGATTTCTGAAACTTTAGCGGAGCAGCCGTTCTAGATGGCTTTCAGTATTCTCTAGTGCAATTCTCCGTTTCTTGGTGAGAATCTCCCACTTCTTGGCAAGGGGTGACTGCCGCTTACAGATCTCCTGAGCAGGAATCATTGTTCTCGTCATTGTGCCACAAATGGTCAATTCTACTTATTTCAAAAGATAATCACACTCGTCACACGGCAATATCAAAATACAATCGGGGCGAGTAGATAACACACAAAATAACTTGTACATCAACTCAAATTCTCTAATCGAATATGTCGAATTTTCCGATAGTGACAGTGTCAACGAAGGCTAAAACTGGGTGCAGCCATGTTCAGGATATATTCTCCCACTCCACAACCAGTTTTGGTTAAGGGTGCGCGAATAAGCACATGGAGGACTTCAAGTTGTGAGCTCCTAGCTTACCGAGTCTTTCTCTTTGGTGATGTCGCATACGAGGTGTTGGGTACAATCAAATGATCCGAGATTGATGGGTACACTGTCTACACGGCGGCGTCGTGCACGTGGGGAACGAGTTATTTCGCTCATTTTATTTTTACAGGCAATTTGCGATTGACAGACTGTGATAGTGAGAGAAATAAAAATGTGTTCTAATTGAGGTCGAGCGTTTTTTCCCGACGTACAGTAGCGAGCGCTGAGATTAGAATATGAACGAGGCAGCTCGAAGGCTCAGCGCTCGAAACCCAACGCCGACAGTCATGGATGATGAATTCCTGTAGACATTCCCCACCAAAAATACATACTCAGGAGTATCGAATGTGTGTGTGTTTCCATTTTTTTGCTTCGCAATTTCTGTGTATGCCATAGTCTGCTGCAAGGGCTGCGAGAGCAACGTCGACAAGTTCGTCGTCATCGTACTCTGCCGCTGTAGCCAGTTCTGCAATAGCAAGGACTTCAAGCTGCTTAACTGCAAACTGATTATGCTTTAGTACTCAGTACTCGGTGGTCGACTTTTGAGACGTCGTAAACGCGCCATGAACGAATGGATACTAGTAGAATCCCCGCGCTCGTATTATTGAACCTCCGCGACGCACTTGTGACGTCACGGTGTGACCCATCCTCTGACGCTTGAACAATATTCCTTTCGACGGTGACATGGACCAAAAAATCCTCAGGTCCGACTCAATTGTGCTCCAGCCCATGTATGCATTGACTGTTCGCTGCCATTGACACTTATCCGCACCACATATTCGCACAGTCAAATTCGTAAATGTGCTGCATCGAACTCCAGAACTCCACATACGTAAGTGCTGATTGTACACAAAGCACCTTTTTTGCCCAATTGACGTGTAAGGGTCCAGCCCTAAGTAAGCTGCATAGCGTCGAGCATCGAATTTGTGCTTGGGAGGTTATGGTATGTCCCTATGTACTAGATTACGAAGGTGTGGCGTAGCGGGTCCCTACGCAACATTCGCAGCGATTATTGAAAACGATGCACAATGCACATCGCAGTGGTAGCCATGAGTATCATCAACAAACCAAAATACTAATTTGAAACCCTGTGCGGTCCGAGGTTGTCTGTGTTTAGTATAAATGGGTTTGCTTGAAGCTTCTTCCATTGTTCGATACCCACTTGGCACTGACTCAACACTGACTTCAAGAAGCAACTTTTTCTGCTACGATGTTCATCAGCTCAGTGCCCTATACGATTCGTAAGTGCCGCAATATTGTTGTGCTGTGACATGTATGAACAAGTGTGTGGTCAACAGCACAGGACATTGTGGGCCCATACAATTATGTCCCTACAGAGTGGATCTGTGTTTCTGTGAGTCATATCATCTGGAGCTCTCACATTCCTTTCACATTTTTCCTTAGTTCGTGGTGTTGTATAGCATTTCAACTGGTATGAATTTCTACTCTTGACGGTGCATAGTCGTGCCATAGCTTGACACCTTCAGCCATCCATATGGTCCAGGCGCTCAAATATAAACTCTGGTGGATGATTCCCACAGCGACCTTTGCGGGCATCCTGGAAGTATTTGGATGGAGTGCGAGGTTATGGTCGAGCCAGAGTCCTGAGCTTTTGACGCCTTTTGAGATGCAGTGAGTCTTCATCGATAAGGGATCGCTCATATACACACTCGAATATTTTCGCTGCAGGCTCGTCGGCACGGTTCTAGCACCCACTCCACTAGTTGCAGCTAACTTTATTATCCTTGGCAAAATAATCAATCAATTTGGATCTCAGTTCAGCCGACTGACCCCAAATATGTGTTGGTGTTAATTTGATATATTGGCTATAAGTTACTGATTTGGCGCAGATACCGTGGTTTTTTGCTCATTTGTTAGTATCACATGTACAAGTGATGCCAATATTTCATATTCTCCGGTGCATATAGGATGCTATTTGCTTGATCGTACAAGCTGTCGGGGGCGCATCATCCGCACAAGCCGTTAATGAGAACAAAGACCCCACATTGGTACGTGCCACTTCTAGTACCTTGTGGCATTTGCTACATGCAAACAGGGCGGGAACATTATGTTAGGAGGGATTTCTGCTCAACTTTGTGCGTGATGCGCGGCGCTGTGACCTTTCTCTCACTGACATTCATTCCCTTCGCTCTTTAGTTGCTATATTGGTCTACATCAGTTTGGCGGCCGAGTTTTTCTTGCGTCGGATATATAATACACCCTTCCGCCACCAGACTATGAAATTCGAGAATGATCAACTCGCTATGAGTAAATATGTGCATCGCATGATTTTTGGGATGAGCTTGTGCACCATCTGCATTTTCATTCGGTCAGCGTTCTGGACATATCGTTATCAATAGTTATAATGCGCTAACTTCGTCCTTAGATCCGTGTACCGCACAGTCGAGCTCGCCGATGGGTGGTTCGGGGTAGTGATTGCGAATGAGTCCTACTTCAGTACGTCGCGGCACTATCTTCACATGTTGCCGACAGAATATTGATTGTCAACAGACTGGTTCGACGGGGGTTTCGTCGCCGTCGCTATGTATACTCTCAACATTATACACCCAGGTATATATTTGAAGTGAGATGATGCTGTTCATACTTCACTGCGAGACGAAGACGAATGTCAATTCAATCAAAATTATACATTTTGATTGTCTTTGCGACATATATCGTAGATAGTTCCACTTCAAGTTGTTGTTAGTACGTAGTAGTATAGTCACGATTTGACGTGGTGTACCATTTACTTCATGCACTGCGGCTGTATCTCTGCAATGTTGATGTTTTGATATCCTCCAGCCATTCGGAAGCAGTGTTCTTCCAGTCCGAAAATTCGCAGAAGTCAGTGAATGGTCCCCATGACTGCGGCCCGAACGATAAATGATTTTGAATTGGCCGACTACGAACATTACATAATCACATCCTAAACGCATAGTTTTTCTCATCCAAACTTTCATCCGCCCGCGGAAATTGTCATCAATACCCTTGGCATCTAAATTCAACAGCTCATATAACTCAATCCAAGCCTCGGATGCAGCCATTTGGTAGAAAGATCCCAAGCCAATTTTGAGGACGAGAGAAATCAAAGAGATCTTCCATCGGAATTCGCCAAGAATAATATTCGCTGGAAGTTGAGTAACTTGAGCTTGGATTAGCAACTGCCACCATGGCATGGGCGGCCCTAGTAAGTGAACTAGTGATGCGAAAAGGTTGTGCCGACTGGTCGGCCTTGCTGGTTGTATTCTGGTAGTAACGCCGTGTGAGGTGCCCCCTGACAGATCCTGCATGTTTTTTCCTCGTGGGGGTACATCTTTAGCCTTGCGAGTAGCATCAAACTTTGAGTAGAAAGCTGATTTTGCTATTTTGTGAGCATCTTGAGAACCAGAGCAAGCCATATAGGTGCGGATCATTGAGGATCCAACACTAGATATTGTTTCTCGACATTGGTTTAATCTCACCTCGTTAATGAAAATAAACTTATCTTTGCAGGGTAGTAAGATACAAGGATACAAGTAAGAGTAGTCAAGAGTAGTCAGATTGATGTCATGAAGATGAAGGGTGAATATAATAACAATGATGATGGCGAAGTGCGACTCGGAAGCATTCTGGAATTCTAGCCCACGGGGCTAGGTCGGCAGGCAAGGAGCATATTACAAATCATGCACAGCAAAACACAAACATATGCATCAGACTTCGCCCGAGTTGGCTATCTTCATCTCCGTCGTTAATTGATCAGATAAACCGAAGAAGCAGAGTAAAAACAGTAAAAACTCACCTCGTCGATATCTCCACCTGGAATTGATTTCACACGGGCACGAGGGGAGACAGTGCTGGTGGTCATTTTACTCTGCGTGCCTGCGCTGTCGCTTGAGGACTGTAGGCCAGTTAGGTTGATGGTGTTGACACGGAAACTAGTGTCATTGTGAGTGTGGTTGCGCCCTCGTAAGGCACTTCGGCTATTCAAGGATGCAAGAAGGGAATTGGCATATACTACAGAATAAAAGGGTGAGGACTCCACGTGTTATCACCCGATGGAGCTGCACTCACGCTTTCCGATAACGAAATCTATCGCGATGAACCACAGACTACCTGGGCTGATGGCAAACTGTGCGGCAAACAAATATTAGCTTTAGAAGTATTGGCCTAACTCGTTTGCCTGAACTTACTGCGATAACTTCGGCCACGGCCACGGCTCTAGAAGATAAGAAGCGAGGTGAATAACATCACCCATGTCTATCAGACAAGAGACATACGAAGTCAGTAGACAACGATTGATAGCGTATACCATCAATGTATTAACAAGTGCATTGGTCCTAGTGGACAATATCAATCTCAGCGATGTCAGCAATGCGGGATCGAGACCTACTCGACATAAGAACCGCGATTGCCATGGAGAAGAATGCACAGTGAAGCAGCAATGAAGACGTCGGACAAAACAGCAGTGACAGCGAAAGGGGTGGCAGCATAGAGCTGAAAACTGTCAGTAGGACACCCAGTCAAACTAGTCTTTCAGCATACAGTGATCTGCGAAAGCGCGCTGAATTCCTTCTTGATGAACCTGAGAGGATTCGTTACATTTGATACTGATTAAAGAGAGTACTCACATGAGAATGACTGTCTCTACTTTGGCTCAGCGCATCGTGTGAGTAAGATGAAAAAAGGAAGCCCACCTAATCCAAAGGCTAAGTCTCAGATCAATGAGCTGTTTAGATGAGTCATATACGGAGTCTTACCGAAGTGTGCGATAACGAACAACATCTTGAAATGACGAGACACCACCATTCAGTATCAAACCAGTATACGAACCCGAGAGCTTCAACTTCAACTTACAATAAAGGATGTCAGCCACCATCGGATATTGGAACGTGTTACTGTCCCAGAAAGATTCAAGACAAGTAAATCAACTGAAACGAAACGCTTACGGTAGGATATTCGAAGAGTAAAGTACCTGACAAAGACATTCAGGATACAAATCTACAAACTACTGATGGAACGGCCACGCACATTTGCACGAGCACAGCCATGCAAAGCTACTTCCAACGTTAGCTTGAGGAAGACTCTCAGACGGAAAAGACTTGCATTTAGAGCGAGCGATATCTTCAATTCCCATATGTCAGACGTCGAATTACACAACGCTAAGCACTCACGAAAAGGGACCTGGGGTGCACGACTCAGTACTGGTTCATTGCGGTCTTCGGAAAGTACATACCAAACTCCCGTTCCAAGGTTATTCGGGTCACCAAAACTCGTTACCTATACTGAATTAAAATCGTAAACATGATGATCCAATCGTCAATGCGCACAAGGTAGTAATACAGAGCATGACACACTTGGACGGGGAGCAATTCAGTAGATGTCAACTGAGATGCCAATCAACCACTCACTAAAGGAAACGTGTAAAGTGTCTAAGACCCTACAAAGCAATCAGGAAAGCACATGCCATCAAACGCAAAGAAGATCACCATATGAACCCAACCTATAACACTTTCGTAAAAGGTCAAAATCCAACATAAACTAGACCCGACATACCAATACTTTCACACTATTGGAGTCACTGGGATAATATACATAATACAAGTATGTCTTGCAAGGTTCGCAGATAATCAGTTAGCGTTACCACCTTCAACAGACGAAATACGACATACCTGCAGAGTTGTGATACCATACAAGCTATTATCCAGTCACATTGTCAAGTTCTGGCGGGAGGAGACGGATTATCGACGCACATGGCAGTCACCATACCTCCGATAAACCCTGCGCCTGAAAGAAGGTCAGCTGCTCCCCTAGGGACAAAGATATGAACAAGATACTCACCAAACGTATCGTGAATGTCCACCACCATAGCAAACGATCAGTATACAGAGAGATGAAGAAGAAAACGTTTTTGAAGGGGCTGTATACCACAAGGCATTTATGATATGGGGGCTGAGCGCTCAGGTCCCAACAAATCAAGTATCCACGATGGGAGAAGCTTGAGGAAAGGAGCCAAAGATATTAAATCTTTTTTGGCGCGATTTGCACGGGGGTCCAGCCGGACCCTAGGTTATTGATTATCAGCGAGTTGGCGCCCAATACCCACTTGACCCTGTCAAATTAAAAATAACATTCGCCGTTGACATTTCCTCTCATCGTCGGGAAAATCCTCACCTCATGGCCTCCGTACTAGTGTCTTTGAATCCTGAACTTGGCTGACTATGCATTTGTTGTGCGCAGTCGCCGAAAAATTAACTGTGCTTGACCAAAATCTGATGCCAAGGCTTTCATCTGTTCGGATGGCAGAGCACCTGATTCCCATGACTCTTACAATGGGCACTGCGTGTGAATAAGAAATATGCCAAAGAAAGGTGACCCCCATGAAAGCACCTTGATAAGCGTCGCAGACTCGCAGAGCCCGGACACCCTTGTCATGACCAATTTTTTTGGTGGTGTCGTTGGCTGGATATTAGCCTAAATTAGCCTGCTGCTTCAGCCTGCCGGCCATTATCTGAGTTCCAAAACATGACCGTTGCTTGGTATGATTAAATCACTGGGCGGAATGATTCGGGAAAGGGCGATGCCCGGAGAAAGCCCGACATGCTGGATTGCCACTTACGAAACACACCAAGAACATCACATGAAATCCGCTCACACTGCGGTCAGTACCTTTCGACGAAAACGCAGCTAAAGCGGAGCACCACAGCGCTGTCTTACACAACCTGCAACATGTACTCGATCATTAATATATGCGTATATCCATAGTGTGTATTCACACAAAGTTGACCAATAACTGTCCACTATGTCATCATATCCGCGCCACCGCAGAGTTTCAGCCGTGTGCACACCGCAAGGTGCAATCAGCACCGTGCTTATGTAACACCCGAATACCCAGGAGCACCTTGTGGGTCCGAGATGAAGATATTGTTTCCTTTGACGTTGATGAAGGAATACTGCGGGGCTAATTAGTTCTTATGCAGGAACGTCGAGGCGCGACAAACCTCGGCGAGATCCGTGCCCTTTCCTCGGTTGTAGTTCTGGTATACCAGGTTTATCTGAATAATACGATGTTGGATGGGATATTGGATGCGCAGATCAGTACGTACCTCGTTCATAAATGGTCTCAACCCAGCTTGCTCTAGCATCTCCCACCAAGGCAAGAAATCCTCAAATTTCTTGTCCCAGGCATGAATCTCGACTATAAGCTGTCCGAATGGTAGTGGTTCCCCAGACAAGATGTACGGCTGGATGATCTGCGAGAGTGTCTCAAACTCCCAACCTTCTATGTCGATTTTGAGTAAATCAATATGGTCATGCTCTGATTAGAACATTTTATTAGCAAGAAATAGAACGGAGATAAAAGCGCATACGAACTGTTAATCTCAAGCAGTGTCTTGAGAGTATATAGCTTAGGATTATTGTGCGGCTCATGAGAATCAAAGTTGGCAAGGCCCCATGAAAAGAAGTGTGTACGGTAGTTGGGCTTGATGTGGGATCCAAATGAGTTGGAGCGATAGTCGTATCCCCAGACTTGACAGTGCCGCGTCCGTTCAAGGAGCTCTGCCTCGAATGTCGTTTCATAGTTCATACCTACGCAGTAAATGAGTGCTAGTCCGAAATGAAATGAAATGGACAGGCACACCGAAAGTGTATATGATACAGTCGGGTTTGTGCTCCAGTCGGGATATGCCGCATGCCCACTTTCCGCCATCCCCTAGTGCACCTATGCGCTCTAGTTCGTGCGGACAGTCGAAAGACGGAGGAAAGAAGCTCCCTGAGAATGTTGGTAAATGCCTGATGGCAAACGGAAATCTTCATCGACCAAACTCACAGGCAGTGTATGCTGGCCATGGATCCTTGTCTGGCGGGAACCTGAAACGTCTTCAACCCTCCACAACAGGACTAGTGAGCTAGCAGAACGTACATGACAATATCGCGAGAGCTTGTGCCATATCTGTGTATTAGGTTCTTGCGACCAGCTATTACTTTCTGATAGACCCTTTCTGCTCGCTCAAGTCGTGCTGGAAGGGTACTGTCACGGATATAGGCAGCATACGAGTCGGTGGAAAGCGGAGATTCGTACGGACTTAGTAGGAAGAAAGTTGTTGTCAGAACCAAAGCCACGATGAGGAAATATCGAGGATGTCTCTGCCAGACTACAGGCATGACGAATGTTAACGATTAGGCGGCCGGTAATGACAGGACTGAAGGGTATGCGCTGGCGTGAATGATATGTGGGGGAATAATGATAACCAGCAAGAGTCGTGTAACCACGCGCTGGCACTAAAAGTACATGCAATGAGTCAATATGTTCTTCAAGATTGTGACTGAGACTCACGCAGGCTACAGAAACTTGTAGCTCGCTGTTGGCTTGCCGTAGGATATTTTTGAAGTTAGTACGCACAGTACATAGACCACTGTTTTCACTAGCGACGTGGCAACGAAATCTCCCAGTAACTTAGATTACGATAAAACATCTAAAATGGGTTTAGATCAGATCAGGAACAACCCTTGGCAAATTCTGCTTCAAGTTGCTCACTAATCCCACCATGTCTTCCAATAGTGATCAGGAAACTATCTACACTCATGCTACTGAAGCTCCTTTGAGGGAATCACGCCATTTGGTATGTTCATTCAGTGTGCCTATATATCCTCGTTGACATATAATATGTATGAACAGGAAAACCAGATGAATCAAGGTGATGTATCTGATAACGACAACCAAGTGCTAAAGGAGAGGCTAAAAGTAGCTGAAAAGATGTTGAGACTCAGGGAGGATCAGGTCATAGCACGAGAGGAAGGTCTGACAACGATAGAAGAAGGTCTGAGGCTGCGTAAAGAGGATTTAATGTTTCGGGAAGAGGATCTGAACATTCGAGAAGAAGAATTGAAGGTACGAGAAGATCGTTTACTCATGCGAGAGCAGGAACTTGAAGAAAGGAGTCGTAACGTATGAAAGGTTTACATTCAGTGAATTCATCCTTGGCGCAATTTCATCATATGTCCTCTGCAGCGGCGAGCACAGTTCTAGAAATACATGATGCTTCGTCGAACTCAAATGTGAGCTTCTATCCGGGCCGTCATATATCATATTTGCAATTAACCACTGCATTGTCAATGACTGTGAGCCACCTGAGGTTCACTCTGATCTTCCCATCTCGGAGAGCAAGCCGATCGAATCGATGTCGCTCCTCAACAGACTACCGTTGAAGCGAGAATTGCAACAACTGGTTTCACAACAAACCTGATATCCACAGTACATTTATTGTATCACTGGACAAAACCAATGACGCAAATGATGACAATTGCCGATTCACGTGGAATGGCGCATGACCTCAACGAGGCCACTATTGAAAGGCCTCGAGGCGAATGAACGTGGCAAGCACCTCCGAGAAGCATAATTCTCGACTCCTTGCGTCCGGTAACTTGATTGGCCTGTCCAGCGATCAAACATAGCTTGCTCTCCATGGATGTGAAGTATTCACCGCTCCCTCGATTCGCTGCAGTCTCGTTTTTGTTCACAATGTCTCCATCGCCGCGCATTCCATCAAGCACATGACGCAAGGCCCCACTACTTATTTGTAATTTATCGTCAGCGGGAATGGAACCATGCCGCATGGTTTCAATTAGGCAGGTGAGAGAGAAGACCGCTGCCTCGTGCCTACCCTTGTCGAGCGTATAAAGCCCCGCCTATCTGCAAACACACCTCATCGAGTCATTCTCTGCACACCACCGCCATGATCCACTTCGTACGAGTCTTGGTATACTTCTTCCTGGTAAGTCGCAAGTCCAAGGCATGTCTTTCGAGATGCTGATTTCAGCGTCCAGTTTATTTTTTCAGCCGTCCTTATGTCGCTGTGCGCAGTAAGGCTGCACTACACCTTACACTTGTCGCCACGTGATCCTCTCAACGGAGGCGTCCGATTTTATGGTATGTTGATCGTCACGATACAGGCGTCCGATCCCTCACTCAACCTCGTCAAGACCACATCGTGATTGAACTGCTCTTCACATCCATCATCACCATGTTCTGGTCCATGTTTATGTAAGTATGTCACCCACTGCATTTCCTCCAAGTTTAACCCCACTCGCATCAGTGCCCGAACCATACACGGCAGACACGAACATCGCAGGATGAACAGCTTCACCGCAGAGCTCGTCGGGTTGTTCATCCTTTTCCTCCTTTGGCTCATCGGCGCTGCCGTTGCCACAGTACGTCATCCCACCCGCTTCCCTATGATTCATGATACTCACACGCTACGGCGCAGCACACCAGCAACCCACCTGACGTCGACGTCAAGTGGGGTAACCTTTCTTCCTGCTGGGCGTATAGCGCATGCAGGATCCTCACTGCACTGCTTGCATTCACTTGGCTAGGCTGGCTCCTCGTCTTGGCCCTCCTTGTGATGTCATTACTGTTCGCAATTGCCAATAAGGCATTCCACGATCCGATGCATGGGCGCTGGGACCGCCGTGCCACACACTACGGAGACACATCTATTAATATGCGCAACATCGTCAGGTAAAGGGGGTGGTGGAAGATGAACGGGGCGTAGACACTAGCACGTGGAGTTGAATGACATTGGAGTGGAGTGGAGTCTTTCTTTTAGGTGGGAGAAGCGGGACTCGTCAGATGCTATTTACACAACGATATTTACATTACATTACGATACCACATATCCATGGTAGCACTGATGCAACGAAGATTCTGCGAATCGTCGCAGGTCACACTATTGAAAGGAAAGGACAGCATTCGAGAGGACTACAGTCTCAGACAGTGAATTTATCATAGTACACATTATTTTCGAGACAGTTTCACGATTACGGTGCTGATAGTACATACACTTCTCCGACATGCCATTATATCATTCAATTAGCGTTCTCAGCTTCAGCCATGCGGACCCATAGACCACCCTATTCAATGAAGGTATCAACACAGAAACGAGGCAGGAGGATAGCACAGTGCTTACATGGGCATAAATCGTCAAATGTACTTTCGGCCAGAACTTTTCGCGTGATTTGCGACCCTCTGCTTGAGCCCAGTCAGCAGGCGGAAGAGTGTGTGGAGGTTGTGCTTCTGAGTGGAGAGTGATAGAAGAGAAGGATTGGAGGAGGCGGATGAGCATGAATGACATCTCGTTGTAAGCGAACTATGAGTTGAGGTCAGGAGAATTTCGAAGTGAGGAATATGAATAGGAGTATCACCTGTTGCCCAAGGCAGATGCGGGGGCCGGCGTTGAAGGGGAGGAAGATAAAAGGTTTAGGTGTAAGATACTTATGTAACCGTTCATCGAGGAAGCGGTCGGGATCGAACTCATCGGCTGGCAAGATGTTAGTGCGTGCAAATTGATCATTCGAAACAGTAAGTGACGTGCGTACCATCAGGACCCCAAAGATCTTTTCTGCGATGCATTAGAAAAACGGAGTAGGTGATACTAAATCCATCATCTGCGTTACGTTGGAAATTCTGAGAGGAAAACACTACTGTACCTTGTCTTTGGAGGGACGTATATTGGTTTATCCATGTGGTTGGTTGCAGGTAGAGTGGATGCATTGACACTTGCGCTATCATGATGTGAGTATTTCGTAAGAATGTAGGATGTGGAGCGTACCGAACATTGAAAGGTCTGAAGGACGTAATTAGATTGGTAAAAGATTCATTCCTGATTCAAATAGCTTACACAGGAGAAAAAATCCTCATAGTTTCTGTAAAGCGAACACGTCAGAGGTCTGATAAAAACAAGCTACAATAATCGAGTATACCGTTAAGAACAGCGCGAAGGTACTTCATACTACGAATCTGATCGTAAGTCGGCCTGTCGGTAGGTCCAACTTGTGTCATAACCTCCTCTCTCAAGCGGGTCATCACATGCGGGTGCGTGGAAAGTAGATACATGGCAACAGTCAGCGTCCCAGCAGTCTACGTGCATGATAATTAGCTGATATTCAAGGGAACGTAAACAGTAGATTTACCGTGTCCCTTCCGGCGATTAGGATGTTCAAGATTTCATCTCTCAGTACCACGGGATCTTATTACCAGATAATTCAGTTTCGTGATACGCGAGAGTACTGGCACCCTACCTGTTGTCATCTGGACAAGATGGTCCAGTAATGTCGTATCTTCGTTATCAACATCCTTTTCGTCATTGACATGCGCTTGCTTCTTGGCAATAGCCTCTTTCAAGATCGGATCAATGAACGAGTTCACGATTCGCATAGGTTCGGTGGTTTTATCCTCGAAGATCTCGAACAAGGGCCAGACCCAACTTTTGCGGGGACGCTGGGCGATAATTGTCTGTGCATCTGCGAACGCCTGAGCAAAGTTTTCAGCTATCTTTGCCTTCCCAGTAAGGGCTTCCTTCGTCGCGACGTTATGGGGGTAAGGTAGTCCTGCGGAAAGACTGTGCACGCAATTGCCAAACAAAAATTCCGTGGCGGAGTCGAGCGTGAAACGCGATATCAGGTCCTATGATTTTGTGTCAATGTACGATGTATATGTTTAGCATGAAGCTGACCTGGAAGTCGACGGGATATCCAGAGCGGAAACGAGCCTTCATCTGCGAGATAGCATCTTCTGCATGACGATCAAAGATATTGAAGTGACCTATTCGGTCATGGCTGAAGAAGGGCCTTGTCATAGAACGATGGAATTTCCACATTTCGCCTTATTTGTTTTAGTGTGCTGTTAGTCGCTTGGGAACCGAGTAGAAGTTCATTTACCGTCAGAATTAAAAACACCCGTCCCGAGGACACTTGACATCGTATGCCTAAACTTATCTCCTGCATAGAACGTTTAAGAAGGCGCCGATCACTGGAGATGTGATCAACTCATCCACCTTTGACATAGTTTTCAAATTCGGAGGTTAAGATAGTCTGGGAATCAACGGGCATCAGTGCGATACCTTCCATAAAGAAAAAACATCAGTATACCTTGATGTGACTAGGTTCCACGGTAAATAGGACGGTGTCGAACATGACATTGAGGTTAAAGCACGTTCCTAACTCTGTGATGGTCTCTGCCAGTCCATCACCTGGAAAAATAATTCATACAAAATCAAATGTGCGGAGATTGCGGATAGTTATACCAGGATAGCCATTATCAAATCGTTCAACCAGTTTGAGCATGACGTCGAGGTTACCGAATTGTTTGCCCCTGATAGGGGGCGCCAGGCGGGCACCCATCCTTGCAGCTTGTCGGCGGTGAATGATACGGAAATACAGGATGCGCAATGCAAACCCGATAGGTAAACTACTGGTCGCACCCAGTAGTAAAATCCATGGTGGCAAGGATATACCAAACTTTGTCGCGAATCGCGCCAAGCAGACGGTGCCTAAATATATAGAGCCTGCCGATAGGACTATGCGACCAAGGAAAGAGATTCCGGGTGTGATCATATTGAGTTACTTCCGGCGGCAAGTGAGAAGATGGCAAGTTCAAATCCGGGTGCGACTCGGGAGGATGAACAAGAGTTGTGGGAGCCAATACGAAAAACTATCGGATATAAAACCGTGTTGCAAAACATTTGATTTTGTTTACCCACTTCAAGTGACGTGATACAACATTCATCATGGACATGACAGTGGAAAGATCTATTCCTAGGGTGGGTTTCATTCCCATCGACTATACATGGAGACAATTACCTTAAGCTGAGTTGTCAAACACTCAGGGTGAATGGAAGGTTCCGTACGTGCCACTGGCAGTGCTTGAAACACAATGCGGTTACTCTGGACTGTCAAAGCAAATACTAGGATGGATTGGCCTTGAGCGATCGGGCAGATGCTCGGGCATTGTCTTCGGAGCCCGATGTTATGAAAGCCATCGCTAGCAATGAACTAGTGACCGGTCACAGGATCGGAGTCAGGGGTTGCCTCTGCGAGGTTTATCCCTCTCGGCACTCCACATGTCCCATAGGGTCAGTTTCAAAGTGAGCTTGGCAGCGCAAGTTTAGTTAATATTCGTACTAGTAAGCACAATATTTACTAGATATGCATGCTTACTATGGAAATATGAGGGAACCCATGAGTTCTAGTGGCGTAGTTGACTCGGATCATGCATGCCCCATCGATGAGACGATGATGATGTAATGGGACCGCCACATGGGACCTGCAGGCAAAAAAAAACTTGGCATAATCATAATTAATATCGTGAGTATAAAATGCAGAATTGTGAAAAATTCCAGCAGCGCTGCATCTAGCACAAGTTGGCACTTCCAAAGTGATGTGCATGATACTGAAAACCTCCAGTCAGACCAAAATGTTTGTGGGGACGAGTTGCACTAAGAGAACCAATGTGCACGTGGGAGCTGGTCGACCGGTCAACTGCGGAAAAGTATATAGTACCTGATGTGACTATAAATAGTTTAATTACGCCCCTGTGAAATTGTCACCGCAGTTTGTTGAACACTTGGTTGGCGCTCAAACGGCACTTGGTAGTGACCATCAATCATATTATCTGTGTAGGTGGCAATTCAAGGTTTTTTTCATTTGCTTATCTAGGTCACCAACTAGTAACAAACTTCGGTTGACCTAATACTATGTCTCGAACTTGGCTTAGCCCTGGCGTGGCCTACTTAGCGCGGGGCTTGCTTTCCGTCGTGGTTCCGGCCGCATCCTCCGTCATTATCGTAGTTCGCCTGGCCTCTCTAAAAGGCGTTCGAGTTTCTCCCTGGCTCATATCTGCAGTGGTTTTGGGTGCAGCGCCTCTCGGGTTTGCAGCTTACGTTCTTGCGGATGGGATATCGCAAAAACGAAAGGCTTACCGACTCGGTGCCAGACTTGTTCCTCGTATCCATGGAAAATTACCCGGAAATCTGGATAAGGTAGTGAACATGGTCCTGAGGAACGAGAATGAATACCTAGGTACAGCTTCCATCTCACGTATACGTGCTTTACGGAATCATACTTTTGTCTAGGACGACCTATAGAGGATGAGATAAAGGTACTCGGGCCGACCATCAATTTTCGTTTTTTCTGGGAGGATCTCATTTTAACTACGGAGCCACAACACATCAAGGCAAGCTTCAATATATATATTAGAAAATATTTTATAATCGAACGCCACATAGACAATTCTCGCAACTGACTTCGATAACTATGTTAAAGGTATGCACCTTACGTTAGATGCCGTCTGTTGACATGTACCATGTGACTCGATGCAGGTGCCAAATTCAGAGAAGCAGTTGATTCTGTCCTTGGAACGGGCGTATTCAATTCAGATGGTAAGCATGCATTAGCGGGCCTTTTATGTTGCGTCCGATTCACCGATTGGTTGTGCCACCAGGTGAAATCTGGAAGTAAGCCATATATTTGAGAATTACCTCCGATGGGGAATCTTAGATGTATTTCTAGGCTTCACCGAACCATGACACGGCCTTTCTTCACTCATGATCGGATAAGTCACTTTGAGATCTTTGACCGTCATGCGGATCATGCTATCGCTTTGGCGAAGAAACGTTTCAGAACGGGCTTGGCAATTGACTTCCAAGTACGGGCTCTTCCAAGCTGGCATTTTGACATATTTTGATTCCATCACAGGATCTCATATCCAGGTTTACACTTGACTCTGCATCGGAGTTCCTATTTGGACACTGTATCGATTCACTTTCCGCTGGACTCCCTTATCCCCATAACGCGACAGAATCCACAGATGCTATTCAAGGAGACAACGCTGCTGCAGCCTTCGCATATGCTTTCTCTCAAGCTCAACAGGCAATAAATCGGCGTGTTTCTATCGGGCAGACCTGGCCACTGGTTGAGATTCTCGCCGACGGCACCGCGCAGCATATGAAAGTCGTAAACGCGTTTTTAGATCCGATCCTCAAAGACGCTCTGGAGAAGCGTAGCACCACTGTCGAATTTGACAAAAAGGAGTTCGCAGACGACCAAACCCTTGTAGACCATCTCGTAAATCTGACGTCAGGTGAGAAGCATGTTATCACGGAATTTCTGTCGTTGAAATATCCTTTTCAGACTTCAAAATTATTAAAGATGAGACATTAAATATATTACTGGCCGGAAGAGATACGGTAAGTTGCATTTACCTTTGAATCAACCTAGTATATAACGAAGGATAATCAATAGACGGCCTCAACATTAACATCAGTTGTTTATTTGTTGGCAATGCATCCAGAGTTCCTCACTCGGCTCAGGGAAGAAATTATATCGAAGGTTGGGCTAACCCGCAGACCCACTTATGATGATATCAAAGAGATGAAGTATCTCAGGGCTGTCCTCAATGGTGCATATTCTCATTTCTCATCGCGGGGATGTTGCTCACTTATTTTAGAAACACTACGCCTTTTTCCTGCTGTGTAAGTAATTGAATTTGAACTCATACGTACCTTGCCTCATACCCCAACCGCATAGCCCCTTTGATATAAGGTATGTTCTTAGGCTCCTCGAAGATACTAGACTTGAGCCATGAGCTTTTAGGGAAAATATATGTGACACTACGTGGATATCCCCCGAAGATGGGAAGAAGCCGCTATTTATCCCAAAGGGGACCATGTATGCATCATATTCAATCATTTAGATTCATTGCATAATTACTTGAACAATTTTAGGCTCAGCTATTCAGTGCTCCTTATGCACCGGAGAACTGATCTATGGGGACCAGATGGTAAGTCAATGTAATTCGTTTATATATGCGTTTTTGATTCAATCCGACTCCGTGCTCTAGCATTGGAGTTCGATCCGGATAGATGGCTCGACGAGCGCGTGAAGAAATACCTGATTCCCAATCCCTTCATTTTCCTGCCATTTAACGCGGGACCCAGAATTTGCTTAGGGCAACAAGTAAGTCGCTCATTCATTAATGCCACACATCTCATACCCCCATTTCTACTTCAGTTTGCATACAACGAAATGTCGTTCATGGTCATTCGTTTACTGCAAAACTTTTCTGCGATTACACTATCCCCCGAGCCCGCGATGCGCCCACCTGCGTGGTGGGCTGAAAAAGGTGGTCGGCAGGCTATCGAGCAATTCAGGCCGAGAAACCACTTGACACTTTATTCTATGGTAAGTCTTACTCCGAGGGGTTTTACAGTCGTCTAATCAGTTTCTGCCTCGTAGGGTGGTATGTGGGTTAAGATGGAAGCTGTAGATGACGGCGAAGTCATAGACTAAGTATAATCTTGGTGCTGTGGGACAATATTGCCAGGTCGTTCATTTTTATTAACATTTTTCGCCTTCCATTTTGTTGTTGTTCTTATTGTAAACACACGCCAATGCGTGACTTTGTTTCAGAGTTACAACGCCTGACAGGTACTCTCCAGCTGAACTCAGTCTGTGGTGATCCTGAGTCTCACAGATTCCAATCGCTGGATTCTCACCTGTGCCGCTATTTTTGCCCTCCATTTTCACGTCGTAATAACAGTTAGGCCCTGCGATGAAGCTTGAAGAGCTGACATCCAACATTTAGGTACATAACGAAACTCAACGGTTGCTAGCTGCATTCAGTGGCAGTGACCTTGCCGCGGTTCCGAATCATTGGCTCATCATCGAAGCCAGTGGCAATGGGAACGTTTTCATACCTTCCTATAGTTAGCCTAGCTTCCGAGTCCGAGACGTCGCGTCAGTGGGTCGAATCACTATGACGTACTTAGTATGCAAACGATATGCACTATCCAAGTTCGCGTCACAAAACGCACGATTTCTTCGGTGAGCTTATTTTTACACCGGCAACCTACCTGAATTCTCCACGTATAACGTGTCGCAGTCCTATTTGGGTAGATATCTTGGGCGCCAGTTACTTTATCACGGAAGTTTCAATGGATCCTTCAGTCGATCGCCCACTTCTCAGATCATCGTGATTGAATGTCGATATCAATGCACGGCGAAGCTGCTCGCTAGTATATACCAATTAGTTGCAGCATAGCCCACATCAAACTAGCTGCTCAAAAAGAGAGTCCTCATGGCTGCCCGAGTTAGTTTTTACGGTAGAGAACTTCTGCCAGTAGGTTTGCGTATTCCGTCGGAGTGGGGTACCCCTCGGGGGTGGCGCAGGCGGTTGACACTGTTTGCCACCATTTGCGTAGCTTAGTCAGTAGGGTAGAGTCTTCGGGCGTTGCCGTAGGTTAACACCAGCTTCCGTCTGGGGCCCAGAGGCAGGCACATTGCAACTAGCCGCGCCAGTCCAGACTTTTGAAGAGACGCATCTGCCCAACTTCATGTCTGACTTCAGTTCCAAGTACTGCCGCAGTTTTGTCACTCTCCGATATGATGAAATACTGCGCAGTGATGGGATACGTCAAGTTATCAGGTCCATAGCCATGATAGCCGGGACTTTGGCAGACGTGTACATTATAGGCACCACATCGTTCGGATGACCTGGGTACCTAACACGCGTTGCCGCGGCGTCGATATGCGCCCTTAACAGTAGCGGAGACTTTGTCAGCTGTTACTTGACATGTGGTGTTTGGGCGCAGAAATCCCGCAAATGCACGAGCATCACAGGCCCTGTAACAATAGGACAAGGATATAAATGTAAGAATGCATCCAAGCGCGTGCGCCTTTCTGTATTCTGGCTGTCCTGCTCAAAGATGGCTGCAGTTCAACAGACTGATCCCGGCAGCGAACTCGATGCCCTATTCCCCTCCCCATCTTCCCCGCCGAACGTGCTTTCCCCTCCGCGGCATCCTGGTGCTACCCCAGAAGCAGCTGCAGCTTTGTCGTATGTCTTGAAGGATAACTATACAAAGTACCACATTTTCTTCAACTACAAGCAGTTTCATAAGTGCGTATGTATCTTAACTGATCCGCGTCTCATGTTGCTGATTCGGGCGTCGATGAAGCCATATCACTCATCGCGCGCTGGCACTTTTCGCTATGGGCGCGAGTGGACCTTTGATCGAAAAGCTTTATAAGCAAGACAGCGCCATTCAGCGCCCAGCAGTCAGATCTCCCGAGGCTATCACAGAAGAGAACTTTATCGAACATATAGGTGATGAAAAGTGAGTTTAAAATTGATGCTGCAACGCACTACTCAATTGATTTCTTGTCAGCTTTTACGCTGCGTACAAATCCTTCTTCATCAAGGTTATCGAGGAAAAGAGCCTCAGTGCCACGCTAGAGGAATACATATTCTCTAAGAAGTACAACTTTATAGAGGGACGAGACGCATCCGCCCAGCCGGTGATGTTGGCGCGCTTTTTTGGAGGTTTTTTACACGCCTTCATCCATGTAGGATACGGCGCGGAATTAGGCATCCCAGGCATGATCGTCGAAGGCGAGGAACGTGACACATCATTGTAAACGAGTCCCTGACAGACACCTAAAGGTCTTGCATTGACCAGCGTGCATGGGCATAATTTCTTACCATCGGATCTCTTCGAGCACAGCGGCACGACTGAAGTGGAAGAGCCCACAACTCAACTTGCCTCGCTTTTCCTTAATACAAAGGCACCTACTGCGCCCTCTCAAGTCGCACAACCGCCAAAAAACCATGCATTCTCCGTTCTCGCCAAGATCATGCAAGATCCGAAATTCACACCGAAGGAGATCAAGAAGCATTTTAGAAATTTTGATGGCCTGATGTCCGAGCACGGCGATACTATATGGGACTACGCTAAACAATGGACGATCGACCCGTCGCAGCCAGGTGAAATCGAACGTAAGATGGAAGAATGTATCTGGACAAGCAGTATCCTCTACACCCTTGGAGGATGGAACAAGGACGGAAGCTTCACAGCAGACTTCATCTAGTGAGTGACGTCAAATCTGCCATTTGCGAAACAATATTGATTTTTGGGGTGCTCCAGCATGCATTGCGTCACCTCAAGTCTCTTCCTTCCATCCTTGTTGGCTTACCTGCCAACAGACTCGCAAGTTCTGTTACTTCGTGGATACTTTGCGACGATTCTTGGGTTGCATGTCACACGCGGCTTCCCTAGACTGGACATTCAAGGTTTCCTCAGCGCCACCTCACATCTTCCATCAGAAAACAAAGTCGATAACCCATTCCTCGACATCGTCCAGTCTGGGATAATGCACCCAAATGACCATGTGTCAAAGATTCAGCGCGCATTTGCACATTTCTCTTCACTTTATGGCGCACGGCCTAAGGCCTACTTCAAGGATACGGAACTGGAGGGCGCAGAGGCGCTGGATGGATCGTTCTTCCTTTTGGGCGCGAGATTGACTGACGAGTATATGAGGGACGGGACGTTCTGGAGCCTAGAGGGGTTTCCTGCGAAGGATTAGAAATGAACGAGGGATTTGGAATGTATGTGATACAAACGCCACTGAACCAATGACTGTAATTTTATGTGCTTTTTATTCAAACCCGTGTTGATCGTCTGATGCACGCAGCACGTGGATCTAAAAGTGGGTAATGATTGTGTGAGAAGTGTAGCTGAGTCGTACATCTGTCTTCGTTATCTGAACCTGGAACGAGCGTCGTACTCCGTTTCACCTTGAGAATATAAATCCCGAAATCAGAATTTTTGAATTAAATAAACTTTGAGTTGCCAAAGGAAATTAAGGGACTAAGGGACTCGATGTTTTCCTGATGGACTCGTAGAATAACTGCTTGACGTCTAGTTGCACTTGCGTATCAGTACCTCTCTTGTCGTTTTCCATGGAGCAGCCACCTGTACTATGGTATGGGAGAGTAAGCCTGCTGGGATCATTGTTCCCACGCCCATAGTCTTGCCAACTCGACCTCTGGAGCTCGACTTTCCTTCATTTGACCACAGTTGTTCTTGTATATTGAAAGAGCTATGCTGGAGAAGTAGTGATGTGCGTGGCCTGGCTTCAGGCCGTGGGCCAGGCCAGGCCAGGCCAGAATAGGCCAGGCCAAGCCAGGCCAAAGGTCATGGCCTGACCACGGCTTTGGCCTGGCCCAGGATGTTGAAAAGCCAAAGCCGGCGGCCCAGGCCACGGCTTTGGTACTTAGTAAGCGTAGTTAGTAACCTCACATCTATTTTTGTTTCTCCGATGTTTCTGTTGCTACCTGCGACTCATTTTCATATCACGCCATATCAGAAAACGGTGAGTCGCCAATTCCACATCATCATAACTTACTTTCGTGTCATAGGTGCATTTATTGTTATCCGAGTTGGCTTGCTTCACAACCTCCTCGTCAACGATCCACCATATCAAACGCCGAAGGATCCGAGATGGGTATGATGGGAGAATGAAGCTGTACGAGCAGAACCAAAAGTAGGATGAGCGAGTGATGCTTTGACACCGGCTCGTGCTTGTCCATATTGTGAATCTTTATTCCTATGATACGCTAATTTTCAATGTTTCTATCCTAGTTTACTAAGTACTTGCTCGTGACAGCATCACGCGCCCCCAAAATGATATTTCTTTCTGTCCCTACCTACTAGTCTGAGGCCTCTGATGATTGGTACAATCCACACGGACAACGAAGATGAACTTCGTGTTGTTGCGCGCCCAGTGCGCAAAACGAAACCTACAGCTGCCCTTCTCCAGCATTCAGAGAGGGCAGCCCTCCCCTCCCAAATGAAAGCAATCAAGGACTTCCGCGCTGCCGAAGCTGCAAAGCTTGCTGCTGAATGCCAACTGGTTGACGAAAACGAAATTTCTGCTGCTCCCTCATCACAATGTTCCCCCGATACTACCACCATGACAGCATCTACACCTGCTCCTGATAACAGCAAAAGGGCACGAGTTGAAGATGTTGTTGATACTGATATTGAAAATGACGACGACGAGCGTGAAAATGCCCGTACGAATCCAAAATGTGAGTTCTTTGGCTATTATCAATGTATCTATTTTACTCATTCAAAAGCAGCTAAACGAGTCCGTCGAGCCACTGTAGCAGATCAAGAAGATGTTGACGAGGATGGAATTCTTGCTGACGTCGATGTCCAGCCGATTACTGACCCTGGTCCCCTACGAGAGGACAAGACTCGCGACCTTGACAGATTCTTCGGCAAACCTTTTGAGCGTACTGGTACCAATGGAACAGTGAAAAAACACCGTAAATGCACCGTTTGCCCGTAAGTCATCTTTTGTGTTTATCTGTATCATTAACCTTACATGTTCTATTACTTGCAGGGGTCACTGTATCATTGTGAACGAGCCAACTACACTCCGTCGACATGCCGAAGCTCGATTTGCAGGGAAATATAGGAAATGGGCCAAGGCCAGTTCCTTTGTGTCGAAATTGCCTGGTGATGTTGCTGCGGAAAAAAGGAAGGTCGCACAAGCACAACAAACCATTGATGCACATGTGACAGAGCGCAAGATTTCGGAGCGTGTCATCCCTTACTCTCACCAGTTGTTTCGAAAAGCTGCGATTGAGTGGCTCATCGCGGATAGATTTCCTACAGCTGTCGACTGCTGAGTGGATGTGTGTTGGACAATTTGCAGATCTTCTCTCATACACGGGGTGTGAGTATATCATATGCTACTCTGAAACTCGTTACTAATGTTGATGTTGCTTAAGATTAATGCACCAAGGTACCCAACGTGGGCATCACTTGCACGCGACTATCTCTCCATCATGACATCGTCCGTCTCAAGTGAACGAGCATTTTCACAAGGTGGAATCACAATCAGTAAACATCGGAACCGGCTCAAAGGTGATATAGTGGAAGCGCTCCAAAGTCTTAAATGCTCACTACGTCGTGATCTTTTGTTTCGCGAGGCCGGGCCATCGTCACTCGTAGAAGAAGAGTTCAATGACTCTGACACTGAAGCCAGTGTTTCAGAGAAGGTGGGTGATGTTGCAGACGACGAAGAGGGTTGGGACACATTAGTTTTGGAAGACGACGACGACGACGACGACAGTGATGACTTGGATGACATATCTGTATCTGAAATGTCAGATTACTAGTCTAGAGTAGTTCCTAAATGTATATTCTAACTTTCCTCCACTATGAGCCATGGCCGGGCCAAAGCCAAGCCATGGCTTTGGCCTGGCTTTGGCTTGCAGCCTGGCCTGAGATTTTCGAAAGCCAAAGCCGCGGCTTTCAGGCCAAGCCAGGCCGGCACATCACTATGGAGAAGGGACCTCGGTTGTAGATTTGTCAGCGATTTGTCAGCGGATAGCGATGGTGTCAGTGGCCCTAATATGTCACTACTACATCAGTGAACCGTTGAAGTTTTGATAAGAACATGTATAACGATATATAGTTCAGAATAACAAGAATCAACATAATTCTGCTATGGGGGATCACATTGTCATCGAAGGCCTTATAGAGGAAAGAACACTTCGTGATTGCCCTACAGAGGTTTATGATGCGGAAGACACCGCGATATCGCTCACACTCAAACTTGGAGGAGAGATGGAGTATAAGTTGGTAGTCAGCCTAGATGAATCAGCGCTGCTTCCTTGGAAGTAAAGCCAACATTTTTGAAACTGAGAGCTAAGGTTCATGTCTTCCAGAAGGCCAGAGCGTGTCCGCCAAGCCAGAAAGCCTTAATTTGCGCCCTACTTTAGCTATCAAAGTCATCTTATTCATACGGGTGATTATTGCGAGCTATATATCAGTTGGGAACTGGTGAGAATATGCTGTATATTTTACAGCAGCACAGCACATGTTTACCAAGAAGGAAATAATGCATTTATACCATGCTTGGAGCCCTTGGTCAATCTGATTTAGGTGAATAACAACTAGCAGCGGTACATTGTTCTTGATTGCACCCCAAGAAGCCATATCCATGGACTGATACGCTTAGTTGTTGCACAGTAGCTCGGTAGAAAACTCCACAGCCCAGGACCATACCTCACTCAGACACTGTGTTTACCACTCTCGGACCTTCCGCTACGCTGTGCACAGACGCTGAGTGCTCATTGCACAGTCACTTGATAGGTAACTTCAAGGTCTAGGACCACGCCTCGCACGGACGCCTTGCTTACCATCCAAGGACCCTCCCACATACTCTGCCATGGGTTATTTTGAAGTCATAGTAGGGGATGAACGTTGCATATTTGTCATGCGGTAAGTCAATTAAAAAATTCACAGTGGAGGACAATCTTTCACTCAGACCATGTGCTTGCCATTCGAGAACCTTCCACTTCGCCGTGTCATAACTTGACAGTTGTATTCATTCGCAACACATCACGAAGAAGTCATAGCATCGCGCAGATACAGTATCCGTAAGGTGTGGTACCCTGGCGCAGAAGTAGAAAGCAGTGAGTAATAGTTTACCTGGGTACCTTACTTAGCATTTTACAAGGACCTTAGATATTGCGCCACGCCGATCAGCAACATTAAGTGTTTTTGCGCCGTACGAGAGGAATTTTGTGTACATACATTCACGACCTCAGTGGCTTAGCTGCTCCATCCAACAACAAAGTTGTTATTAGGTGACATTAGGTATTGTAACGACGTCATTCCGCTCTACTTTACCGATTGCTGACCTCTCCCGTTCGGAACTTTTGGATACTCAAGTCAATGAGCACCAACCTACGCCTTTGTTCAAATCTTCATGTGACCTTGTGTAAGTGCCCAGTGACTGGCAATTGTATCCACTTACGGCTCGTCCTGCAGAAGTCGTAGCTTTGCGCAGACGATGCGAAATTTCATGCGAGTGAAATTAGGACCCTGGTGACTAAGTCTTTCCATCTAACCGTACAGGCGTTGAAAGGCGATATCAGGTATTTGTAACGACGCTCGCTATTTTTCACAAAATTCTGTGGCTATACTTTACTTCAGCAATTTTTGACCCATGCATAGGCTGACGGAATTCCTCGAATTTTCCGATACGCACGAACGGAGCGCTCGTTTCGACTTCTTTGACAATTCTTGTCACCTTCCAGTATACCTCAGTGATCGTTGCCATGTGCATAAATGGAGAACGTCTTGGCTTCATCCCTGTATCATGAGTAGGGCTGCAAGTCGGATGCTTCTGTTGATAACTTATGGTGGGAATGCAATGTCATAGATCCTCACATGTGAAAATGTTTGAATCACATTATGATATTAAAAAGATATCAAGCTACAGTTGAGATATTCTCGACAACATTATGGTTAATATGATATGACTAGTCTGAATCGAAAAGGGCGTCGTCCAGTTGCGCCCTCTGCATAGCGAGAGCATTTACGGACATCTTAGCCTTCGCCGTGTCGCTGAGTTCCGCGCAATGACTAGTTCCAAAGACCTTCCTGTATAACACAGATAAATTGAACATCTTCAAATTATAAATGACATACCTAGTCCACCATTTCAGGAGACAGTCAACATTGCGCTGCGCTGCTCGACCAGGGGCCCTTTCAAAAAAGTTCACGACATTGCACCAGAACTGGACGTAGTCGAAGTCACCGTCCATCGAGCGCCACGAAGTTACCGACGATAACGCAAATCGCAACTATAGCGGGTTGTTAATGCCGATAAGTAGATGGAAAAACCGACACTTACTTGACATGCTACATAAGCGATCGATCGAGGCGAGACTTTATACATCTTGATTATTTGTGCGACGTGGGTCTTGACCTTCTTGCCAGAAATATCTTTCTTAGCACGCCTATTGTTTTCAGTGATGTTGGTGCCATCGCCGTCAGCGGCCACTTCCTTTGCGGAAGAGGGAGAGGTGAATATGGCTTTAAACGCCTGCCAACCAAAAATGAGCTTTGTTGAGATACATAGATACGACGAACCTGAACCAAAAGTCTGCTTTTGAAGAGACCCTCCTCCAGGTTGTTCGCATCAGCAGTGTACCCTTGGTAAAGAAATGCTGGCCAGGACATTTCTGTCACGATGTAACCTTCTAGGCGATCCCTGATTCCTGCTCTGACACTGACACATAGTTAGTATCGCGCAAGATCCTGAGTTCAGTACTTACGTTGGATTGTTCCAGTCTAGTTCGGTCGGGCAGAGCAGTTGGCCGCATGCATCGTTGACGAATCCACGACAGTATTTATCCTCGCGGTCAATTGGGGGATTTGGCTTGAGTTCCCGATTGATCCAGTCAGGGACGAGACTCTTGAGCTTAGAGGTGTCGTCTCCTCGAGCACTGTCCGCTCCCTGCCTAAGCTGAGTACAAATTCAGCACAAAACAAATCTTGAAACTAGTTGTGCGCACCTTTTTCAACATATGCACGTATTCATCGTGCTCCAGCTCTGTCGCCCTTTCATGAAACCAGGGGAGAGCGTTGTTGAGAGCTATATATCCCATTTGCAAGCGATCCTGCCTGCATTAATGCAACCCATGAGTAGCACCTACGAGACAGAGGAGGAACACTAACTCGGGAGTCACCTTGTCGTCATTGCTGTCACACCTCCTATCGTTCTCGCTGATCAGGTCCTCGATGGTATCATATAAAGTAACGATTCTCCTGATAGCTCTTCCTTTCGACATATAGTAGTTAGTTTCCCTGAAGATGGTGAGTGCACCATGTAGATGTTAGTGTCGGTGGCATACATACCTTTGCTTCATCGCCTGCCCCGACTCGAGCAGTTGGAGCTTCTCCTCCAATTGAGCAATCTTCCGCCTCTGACGAGCGCTCTCAGACGTAGCCACTGCTAGGGAAGATAGTGGAGGCTGCGAGTTTTCCTCCGCCTGGGACGACATCGAAGCATGGGGGCTGTCCTCCGCCTGGGACATAAGCAGTGATGAGCCTACGGGAAGATGATACGAGTTGGAGACAAGGTGACTTCTGCTTCATTTAATAGTCATCGGCAAAGTCAGCTGCAAAAAGACATGTGCGCCCATAAGGGAAAGCTTTATTCACCCTTTAAGTTAGTGTCCAAATTCGTACGCCGAAAATGTAACATGCCGGGGTGAAGAAAGTGCATTGACGTTAACAAAAAAAATGGCATGCGCGAACAAATGCAACAACATTGCTGAAATCCTAGCGACTGTCAGTTTGGAATAGTGTAAGTAACGTACAGATTGCCTGATGTTCGTTTCCCATGTCCGGCTGGTCCGCCGAGCGCAGCTGCCGCTGGTGAGCGGGAGACACAGTCAGACGCTTCACTCTCTCTGTCCTCCAGCTCTAATGGTTTCCTTATCTCGGGTATGGACAGTGTTTTCTCCAGATCCCTGAAGGTCCAATGGGTTCTCTATTGGCTCAGGTACACTGGCCTGGTCAGACGGATGAGGGAGGTAGAGGTCGGATGATTGATCCGGACCACGGCGTTGATTTGCTCGGGCTGCAGAAGCTAGCACTTCGGGTATGCCGGCGTGCTATAAATTTTCAAATGGTCTGTGCGGAGATCAAATCGTACCTGAACGGTGGGAGTATGTCACGCGCTCGTACTACACTGATCAGTTATTCCGAGTAAAACTCTATAGACGCCATCACCCTGGAGCTGATTGAAATGATTGTATCGTTATCTACATATTATAAGAACGGGCCAAACGAAAGCAAATCACAGCGCAACCAAGATCTACTACGTATATACGTACTACTATGCCTGTTACGTTAGGAGGTAGCCCTACGACGACGCTTCCGAAATGATAACACTAGTTCACGAATGGAGAATAACAGTCCGTAAAACTCGACCTTGTCATTGCCGACGAGTGATTCCATCCGATTTGTCATTCTCAAATAGGATACCTCGCTTTCCAGACTGTGAAAATCAGCATTCTGGAACAAGCCATCCCTGGAACATCGCCGTATTACCCAGTCACAGATTGCTGCGGCGAGGGCAAACATATTCTTGAGGGCAACTTCCCAGTCAGGCGCATGGAGGAATATGTAACGATGATACCCCTGATCGATCAGTATGTATTCTGCAGTGCCAATGACGGCAGCGTTCCCGAATGGGATGCGAATTGACTGGACTTGCCCATCGTTCGTGATCCGCTGAATTGAAAATCAAATATGAGCGGAGTAACATTAAGACACATGCTCACCTGAACGATTGAGTCAAGGTAATCATCATTCAATAGCAACACTGACGCGTCCCATTTGCGTGATGGTACAACGTCGTCCATGTTCTTGAATAGAACTTGAAGGGATAGGTTATAAACTCCAATCACTAATCCCCGAGCACAGCCCTGGGAGTCCCTATGGACCTTTTTAACCAGCCCTTTCAGCCGTCCAAGAGTGCTTTGGCCTTCTTGCCTCGACTTCCACTTTTTAAGTTCTTTCGCTATGTCCTCCATGAGTCACAGAATGTATGCGAGGAAGATGAAGGAATACCATTGTCCTTGTGCTTGGCGATCGCATCGTCAAGCGCTCTATCTGCCAACGTATCAATCGCATCTGTAGCGGGATATAAGGAATTCTGAAATAGTAACGAATTCATCATAGTTGCGGAGTCCTCCTTCAAGTAGTCAACCAACAAAGAGTCGATCTGCAAGGGTGAGTTTTTTCGAGTGGACCGCGTCGCTGAGGGGGCAGTAGAGCTCATGATTTGTATCTCTTGGTGTGCGCGTTTAACCCTCTGGTGCACCGGTCTTTTCTCGACCAGCATTTTAATCAAGTCCTTAGGACGAGAAGAAGGGGGGTGGCCTCGGTCGTGTGACGTGTCAGCACCAAAAGCCGGAAAAGTCGATTGAGTTAGAGCCCCTTGACTCGTACTCGGGTCAGTCGGATGAAGAGCGGTTGGGAACTGGAAGGTGTGATGGGGTACGGAGCTGTCATGAAAGTCCTGGCTCACGAATGGTTGATATGAGCCAACCATAGAAGACTGCGGTTCGAACTGCAGATTTTGGTGGCTGACGTGTGCGGGACCCTGCGAGTGCATAGTTTGGTAATTAGAGTACTCGGGCTCGTGCAGGCTGGTAGCTGCGTACTGCGGGTTACGATAGTCGTAGTCAACATTGCCCTGACTTGTAGTCGGGTTAAACGAGGTCAGATAATGGGAGGTTTGGGGAAGAGTTGGTCCCTGGGGGGTGGTCTGAGCTACGTCGAATGTACCGTGGTGAAACTGGTTGGAAGCTTCCTGCTGAAACGCGTGACCTGTAGGAAACTGTAACTGCGGCTCCAAAGTTTGGTAGCTGCCACCCACAGGATATTGTGAGTGGGAAGTTTCGTGCGTTATGATGCCAGGCTGGTGCTGGCTACCACCTGCGGGCTCCTGCAAGGGGAAGGTATTCCCCGCAGGATATTGCGAGTGGGAAGAATCGGGCGTTATGATGCCGGGCTGGTGCTGGCTATCACCTGCGGGCTCCTGCAAGGGGAAGGTATTCCCCGCAGGATGACTGAGGCTGCTTGCCGGCACTGTGTTCCACTGCCCCGGCTGAGGCAGTGATGAGTGCATGGATGGGTCACCTTCATCGTGACTAGTAGGTGGATACTCGGGCCATTGGCCTGAACGGCCGCCGTGCCAGTGAGCCATTCTGTCTAAGTGTGCGCGGTTAGTCCCTGATAAGGATAGCATGAATTGCTTACTATGTAATAACCGTTGCTTTGAGGGGAATTTTCGAATCAAGTTGGAGATGGCGACTCTGGGATGGGAGTCCGTTACAAACTCGGAGCACTCTTCAAAGACAGGAGGAAATAAATGGTTGCAAGATTGCTGCAACTTACAAGTGTCGGAGGTTCAAGCTAATATTTGATACATACCACTGGCAGCCGCTGATCATGATGTGATCCATTATCGTGATATGATCCTAACGTGGTCAGCTTTTTTACAACATGCTTACTCGTTCGAAGCTGCTGGCACTTACTACTAGTACCTCGAGGCCGGCTCCTGAACAATTAAATTGGTAGGAAAACCCCAATGTAAATTGTTGACGAAGTTCAGATTAATTCCCGCTGTGATTAGCAAAGACTCGTCTAGGGCTCATTGAATTATCGCCTAAGCTTTACTGGTAGCGGCACTTACTATTGGTTTGGTTCAGATCCTGGTTCAGATCGAAATGGACTCGAAGCGGCTCACCGTGACTGCTGATCGACTCGAAGCTTGAGCTTGACTCACAGCCACCCACATATTAAGAGGTTTCTAGAAAATACACGTTATAACTAGTAAACAAAACTTCAGTAGTTAGCGACCATGCGTATATAATTTACAAAAGCGCTGGTACTCTTACCAGAACATCAAATTATGGTGATGATTCGATTAGGTTGGCCAACTCGTGTTACTGGATACTTCGACTTCCAATCCAGCACCGCCGGTTTCACGACAGCCGAGCGCCGATGCAGCGGCTGTTACGACTGGGATGAGTCGAGCTATCTTTGTCTGAGTAGACAATCGGCAGGATGCCAGATAGACGTAAGTCTGCTCTCGATTGAGAGGTCAAGTGTTCTGGCTAAGGCGAGTGTCGCTGACTCCCTTAGAATAGTGGTTCTTAGGCAGCAAGGTTGGAGACCTTGCTGAAGGACAATGTTCCAGGTAAAACCCAGTAGATTAAAGTAAAGAATACAACCGTAGGTAGGTAAGTTTATATACCAATGTTCAAGCGGAGCTTGTAAATGCGTTTATCAAGATAGAAGCAAAAAGAGGCGGACAGCCCGCTTGGTCAAGATAAGAGTCAAGATAATAGATAGGCATGATAAGAGATAAGCGTGGTACGGACGGCCTGTTTGGAAGTGAAAGGAAAATGAGTATAGGGGTTTTTAAATGTTACTGTAACATTACCCCCTTGTTACGGTTGAAGTCTCCGACTTCAATATTCTTCGGTGTTGCAGTATTCGTCCATGTAGTCGTAGTGGATGGGATCCGCGTCAGCGTTGCAGAACTCTGGTTCATTATACCTGGTGGCGTAATCCTGGTTTGCCCTTTCTATTTCTTCCTGAAGTTCTTCGTCTTTCCTGGCCTCCCATGCCGCTAGTGCTTCATAGAAGCCGTCATCGGTATAAACCAATGGGAACAGTTCTTTCTTCGCAGCGTAAGGGCAATAGATGGAGAAGTGGCCGGGTTTCTGGGCCTGGCATATGCGGCAGTAATATTCGGGGCAGTTCTTGTGACAGTGCCCAAGTTTCTTGCAGACGCGGCAGACGAAATTGCCTGGGGAAAACTGGGGTTGTTTTACAGTGATGACGTCGGGGGTTTCGGTGAGGTCAATGACTTCATGCTTCTTTCCCTTAGAAGCTTTAGTCTTCGACACTCCGTGCACGGTAGCCCCTCTACGGGTCTTTCGTTTGAAGACGACGGTGGGTTCGGGGATGGGGAGTGGTTCTTCAACTGGTGTCGGTTGAGCAACAGGCTGAGTCTCTTCTCCAGCCGTAACTGCAGCAGGTACGTTGCTGGGGGGAGCGCTAGTAAAAGGGCTTGGCGGGCGACCGACTTCGGTCTGGTTTCGCTCTTCAACAGTCTGTATAACTGACTTGCAGATAGTGCTAAAAGCAGAAGGAAGCAGCTGAATCTCAAGGCTGCGTATTTGTCTCTGGAGGTGCTGGCAGGCGAGTCTGAGGGCATCGTTTTCAATTTCTTTGAATCTGAGTTCAAGGGCGGCGGTGGCGCGTATGATGTGAATCTGGGATATGACGGGGGCGGCAGCGGACGCGGGTGCTTCAGCGAGCTGTTTCTCAAGCTCAACTGCGTGGGGAAGGGATAACAGAGTGGTCTCGACGATGGCGTCGTCGTCTAGGTTAAGGATGTTCTTTTTGTACGATGAGTTTCCGAGGGAGTGCGAGGATGATGACGATCCGGTAGGGGAAGGTGTCAAAGGTGGAGTCATGTTACTTGGGATTTGTTTGTGGGAGAGAGAATAATTCGTTCAGTTCAACTTGTGTCTCTTCTTATACGTGGTTAAGAGTTCTTTCGAACTCCGCAAGTTTTCCTCGGGTATCCATTCGTTGCTTCCGGAGGAATAGCCTATCCATGATACCAGATAGCGTCTTCGTTTACCCGTGCCCTTATGGCTAAGAATAGCTTCTACTTCATATTCTTCTTCGCCATTGATAACGTCAGGTGGTGGTTCGGTGTAGTTCGGCCCGTGTATCTCTGTTTCGCGATAGGAGGATAGTTCGGAAGCGTGGAACGTGGGGTGAACCTTCCATTGTTCTGGAAGTTTCAGGGTGAACGTGATGGGAGATAAGACTGCGGTGATAAGGAATGGTCCGTATCTCTTGGGCGCAAGTTTCCTGGATGGTAATGATGTCAGGAGATTGGTGGCCGAGAGCCATACCTTATCTCCCGTCTTCCATGGTCGGTACTTTTCATGGCGAGACCTTTCTGCCATTCGTTGCATAGCGATGTTATGGCAGGCAAGAGCTTCTTCTCGTATCTTCTGGAGGTTCCTAAGTCTCTCTTCCGCTGCCGGCGTGTCTGATACCGATAAGATGTGTGGGATTCCTCGTGGTTCGTAACCCATCATGAGGAAGAACGGGGATGTATTCCTGGCATCGTGCTTCCGATGATTATGGACGAATTCGGCGATAGGAAGATGATTGGACCATTCCAACGGATTGCTTCTACAGTAGATCCGTAGGTAGGTTTCCAGTTCCTGGTTGAGTCGTTCTGTTTGTCCGTCTGTCTGAGGGTGGTAGGCGGTTGATGCGGCAATCTGATATCCGAGGAGCCGGGCAAGTTCTCGAGAGAATTTCGAAATGAACTGCGGTCCTCTATCTGAGATCACTTTCTCGTGGAGGCTGAATCTTTTGAACACGTTTTTGAGAAATAGTTTGGCCACTCCTTCGGAGGTGATGTTTTTGTTGCATGGTGAAATAATCACCCCCTTCGTAAGCCCATGGTCTACCACGATCATGACAGAGTCAAAACCGCCCGATACGGGTAGGTCGGTGATAAGGTCGACAGAGACTTGGGAGAAGGGGTGAGTGGCGACGGAGGGGATCGGGCGCAATGGCGGGGTAACAGGGTGCGTGTCAGCCTTCATCTGCTGACATAAAGCGCATCCGTCGACGTATTTACGGATGTAAGTTCCCATGGCTGGCCACCAGAAATCTCGTTTGACGAGTTCTTCCGTCTTGAATCGGCCGGGATGTCCCGCCATGGGATGATCATGGTGTTTAAATAACACATCATGCCGTTGGGCTGCTGGCACGTAAGCTCTATTTTTATAAAAGAGGACGCCATTGATGCACGTCCAGTCGGAGAGGGCGGATTTCATTGGGGGAAGGCACACTCCGTCCAATGCTTCTAGGGCTTTCTGGTACACAGGGTCTTCGGCGGAGTTGCGTGCAATACTTTCTGACAAATCATTGTCAATTAGTCGCACGAACATGGTATCAGGGAGGAGAACGCGATTTTCATTATCATCTTTTCCGAGTGAATGGTCCGGGCGTCGAGACAGGGCATCAGGGGCGGCTAATTTGGTCCCTGCGACGTGATGCAATTCTAACTGATAATTGGAAAGGACGAGCTGCCAACGTGCCTGTCTTCATGTCAGTTTTTGGGCGGAGCGGAAGTATAGGAGGTTCATATGATCCGTGAATACTATCACGGTGTGGGGGCTTCCTTCCAAATAGTGGCGCCATTCCGAGAGTGCTCGAATGACTGCCAGCAGTTCTCTGTCAAAGATTTCATAGTTTCGTTCTGCGGGGTTGAGTGATTGGGATAGGTAACCGCATGGGTGGTACATTCCATTTTCATCAGTCTGCAGTAATACTGCTCCGGTTGCTGCTAACGACGCATCGGTAGCAATTGCGAACTGACGAGTCGGGTCCGGGTTTCTTAGTACTGGTTGCGATAAAAAGGCGTTCTTAAGGCGGTCAAAAGTGTTCTGGCATTTGTCAGTCCAGACGAAAGGGTGGTCTTTCTTTGTGAGGTCGATAAGGGGTCGAGCGATATCCGAGTAATGAGCGATGAATGTCCGGTAGAAATTGCAGAATCCCAGGAAAGACCGCGTGTCTTTTAGGTTTCCCGGGGTTGGCCAATGTTTAATCCCGTCTACTTTGGCGGGTTCCATCCCTACTTCTCCTGGTCGGATCATCATTCCAAGATATTCTACTTCTCGTGCATCGAAGGTACATTTTTCTGGTTTAACGAATAGTTTCTCTTTTCGAAGGATGTCGAGGATTTCGATGGTTCGTGCTTGGTGCTGCTGAAGATCCTTCGAGAAGATCAGAAGATCGTCCATGTATATGACTAACCATCCTTGGTTTATCTGTTTCTGGCAGAGATTGGTCATGAACGCCTGAAAGGTTGCGGGGGAATTCGTTAATCCAAAAAACATGACTGTTGGCTCGAACAGCCCTTCTTGAGTGGTAAACGCCGCTTTCCATCGATCTTCTGGGTGGATCCTCACGTTATTGTACCCCGATCTTATGTCGATCTTCGTGAAGTACTTGGCGTCATAGAGTTGTTCAATGAGGGATTTTGGCAAGGGGAGGGGATATTGATTTCGTATGGTCCAATCGTTGAGATACCAATAATCTTGACAGGGACGCAGTTCTCCGCTTTTCTTTCCTACGAAAAAGAATCCGCTGGCTTGAGGTGACTTAGAGGGGACAATAAAACCTTTTCTGGTGTTTTCTTCGATAAATGTTTTGACAGCTTCTCGTTCTTTTCCTGATAACGGATAGACTTTCGACGTCTTGGGCACGAATCCTGGTTTGAGGTCGATACGATGATCTACCCCAGGTCTTTCCGGCGGGAGCTTGTTAAGACCATCCTTGGCGAAGACGTCTTGATACTGGTGGAGGAAGTGAGGGACGAGTTCTTCGAAAGTCTTTTTCTGTTTTTCTATTTCTCCTGCGACCGCGAATTCTTGGGCTTTATTACTCGTCTTTCCGTAATTTTGTTCCCTTTTTGATGTCCCGTCTCGAACGAGTGGGGTATCGAAAGTTATATCTTCTATGATGCGTACGGTGGATCCATCAGTGGCATATTCGACGAGCACTTCGTCATTGGCCAATTGATAGGCTAGTGGGTCAACGACTGGAGTTTTGAAGTTTTCTGACCAGACGTCTTCCTTCGTGTCATAGTTGGGTATTTCTTCATCAACTATTTCTTCCACAGAAGCGGTATAGGGGGAGGTGGTTTCTTTAGTTGCCACCTTCACCTGTATCGGCTTCCGTAGTTTGGAATTTGTCCAAGTTCGGGTCGTTTCTTTTCTGACTTCTTTCTCTTTTCTGAAAAGCGGCGGGAGCGATTTCTTACGTCTCTTTCTGTCGATGTTCTTTTCTATGGCGAGTGATCTTTTTGTTGGCGGGAGCGATACAGTCTTGGCTTCCCAATCGATCTGGGGTTTCAGCGCAGCAAGCCAGGGGAATCCTAGGAGGATTTTGTCCTGTTTGGCTAGCTTTGCCACATTGAATTTCCCGATCATAGTTCGTTGATCGATTTTGATCGTGAGTACGCAATAACGAGAGATAAGTCCTCCTTGAGCGTCTGATCCATCGGCGGTGATAACAGGGAAGGGTCGTGAGAGTTTATGGGTTCTTATCTTGTGCCTTTTACAGAAGGTATCGCTGATAAAGGTACCGGATGCTCCGGAATCGATGACCATGGATGTTTCGACGGTTTGTACGCGTTTATCGGAAAAAATGGATGCAGGAATTCTTAATTCATTTCTGGTTCCGATAGAACATATTAGTCGTACATGAGTGGGAGTTACTGACGTCGAGGCAGTGTCCCTTTCTAAAAATCCATCTCCACGAAGCGACGTTCTACTTCAGTGAAGTCGCTGTCTTCCTCTTCTTCGACTTCTTTGGCTTTTTCTTTCATAGTCTTCCTCCGGACTGGTGCTTTCCTTTTAGGAGTTTCTTCTTCGTTCCTCTCCTTCTTTCTTCTGATGGGGGTCCTGGAGGAGGAAGCGCGACTTTCGACTTCGTCGTCGCTGCTACTTTCTTCCTCTTTGTTTCTTCGGATCTGTCCTCTTTCTCTGGGGTGGAAGGAGGTGTCGTTGGCACGGTGTCCTACTTGGTGACATTTGAAGCATCTTCCTTCTTTGAGGTGCTTCTTTAATTCTGCGTCCGAGAGACAGCTTATGCGGTCGACTTCCATGTCGTCGCTCCTTTTTGGAACGTAGTGTCTATTTCCGAAGTTCTTCTTCTTCTGTTGCTGGGGTCTTTCTTTCTTTTTGATGGCTTTCCATCTTTGGAAGGCGTTATCGAGATTAATGCAGGTGTTGACGACGGTGTCGAAGTTATTGAGAGTTTCACCCGTCCGGTGCAGGTTGTCCTGAAGCCCGTAGTCTAGGCCTTGTCGAAAGAATTCGATGAGGGGGGCTTGTTCGGTCATTCCTGCTCGGTGCGCGAGGAGTTTGTAGTTGGAGATGTAGGTGTGGAGATCTCCTTTCATTTCTAATTCTCGTATCTTCATCATGGCAGTTCCGGCGGGGTCCATGGGTTTAAAGGCTTCGTCGAAGTCCTTTTTGAATTTGGCCCAGGTTCCGTAGCCGATCATTTGTCCAGAGGTGTCTTTTCTCTTGGGGTCTAGGGCTGCTTCCATGAAGTCTTCCGCCCACGCTGCTGCGTTTCCTTTTGTCATGTAGGATAACACGAGGATGATTTTCTTCTTATCATCACCGTAGACTTTGTCGTTAATGTCGAGGTATGCGTGACATTTCATCATGAATCTCTTTGATTCTTCTCTGTCTCCATCGAATTCGGGAGGGGAACCGATCTTTAGTTCTATATCTTTGTTCTGGGTCGTCATGGTGTTCAAAGGAGGAATGGTTGGTAGAGCTCCTAAGTTCAAGGCTCCGATCAAAGGAGTTAACGAAGTCGTGGTGTCGGTTTCATTGCAGATGGCAACGGTTCAGGTAATAAAGACTTTAATCTTTTGTTACGACTGGGATGAGTCGAGCTATCTTTGTCTGAGTAGACAATCGGCAGGATGCCAGATAGACGTAAGTCTGCTCTCGATTGAGAGGTCAAGTGTTCTGGCTAAGGCGAGTGTCGCTGACTCCCTTAGAATAGTGGTTCTTAGGCAGCAAGGTTGGAGACCTTGCTGAAGGACAATGTTCCAGGTAAAACCCAGTAGATTAAAGTAAAGAATACAACCGTAGGTAGGTAAGTTTATATACCAATGTTCAAGCGGAGCTTGTAAATGCGTTTATCAAGATAGAAGCAAAAAGAGGCGGACAGCCCGCTTGGTCAAGATAAGAGTCAAGATAAGAGATAGGCATGATAAGAGATAAGCGTGGTACGGACGGCCTGTTTGGAAGTGAAAGGAAAATGAGTATAGGGGTTTTTAAATGTTACTGTAACAGCGGCATTATACCTTATGTAATTCACCTCCGCAGCCTTGCGCCACGCCTCACAACCTACTCACGTTAGCCCATGCGGCCGGTCGTCCTCCTGCTTTCCCGCCTCCTGATCCTGTATTATTAATAGCATTACTATATCGCTAACCTCATCGAGCCCTTAAGAACTTATTCTACATGGAGCTGGCCTCGTAATTGTAATCACGCTAACAAACTCAAAGTTCAAAAAGTCCCATGCAGCTGTTTTTGGGTATGTATCGAGTATCGTAAAAGGCAGGACCCTGTTATTTCTCGAGCTCCACACCAGAAACAAAATCTACGTACATATGTGAATGCGACTAAGCCGGACACTATCAATCCAATGCAAGCAATGTTTAAAGATCTGATGCCGAACTAAGGTTCCATTTAGAACATAAGATTACAAGAAATCTAGAATGTGGTATACAACTTTCGTGCTACGCGCTTAAGAGGACACATAATCAATGGTGAGGCCTCAGGCCCCAGGCCTGTGACGCGGGATCAGTACACGTTAGTGTTGCTATATGGGAAAAAGAATTACCTGTTGGAATTTCTCGAACACAAGGAAGTATCGCCTTCATCCCAACTGGCGTCATCCGGTTCCAGGAGAGTCACTGATTGGAGTAATCAATCAGCAGTAGCATCATTTGCAGGCAAATGGAAATAAGTACATGCAAATTTTTCGACTTCATCAAACTCTGTGTCAGCAGTAGCGAACGACGTCACATCACGCTCGTACACAGCAATCCTGCAGCTGCTATCGTTGAGATCATCGGTAGTACAACCGGAAAGCGCCTCGATTGCGGTTTCGAGTGGCTCCGAAACAGCATTGCCATACGTTTCAGCTTCGCTCTTGACGGTGATGCCAATAAATTTGGAACATTGATTGAGCGCATTGACGTGCAAAGCTGCTGCAAGAGCACGCACGCGTCTCCATTCAATATCAGCTTGGATCGCGATGACAGCCTGAGCAAGGGCGGCGGGGGTCAGGTGCTCCAATCTACGTTTGTCCTGGAATAATATTAATAAGCAATCCAAAGATACATAGATTGACATACCCCCTGAATACCATTCTTGGAGTCATTGCACCCCGAACACTCCTCGCCATAGAGGCGTTCTATTATGTTGGGACCGCATCTGTGATAGGGCTTGGGTCTATTTTTTGCGCTCTTCGAATAAATAGATAGCTCATGAAGTATGGGAGGAGGGGTAATAGGTCCAATTATATCATCATCTGAAGTATCATAGGCAGTGTCGGATGAAGGTGACCTTGGAGGTTTGATATGCTTGGTTTGTGAGACACAACTGTGGCTCGGAGTCCCAGAGAGACTCACCAAATCATGCTTCCCAGCAGGACCAGTGGTACGGTAATTACACCCTTTCCTGACATGATAGTCAAGGCTAGTAGACCGTCTGATAGAACGAGGACGAGTAGAACAGGCTTGCATACTTGAATTGTAGAGCTAGTAATGGTAGGGAGGCGACTGAGTTTCAAACCACATCTGTAACCTACTTATATCAATATTCTCACCATGTATACTCCGAATCAGTGAACATTTCATACAGGCATCAGGATCAAGAACAAGGATTGGCGTCATTGATAGCACAGGCATATCGTATGGTGTGATTCGGGCAGGTTCGAAAGGATCTCCTAGGTTGGTAAGTATTAATATAATACATGCAAGCGGCCGCTTTGCGAGAGCTCAAGTCAGGGCACTAAAAGCACCATTTCGGACGGTATTGACTGACCTTTTGAGCTGGCAGGGCCCCACCTACCGAGTTGAGGGAATCGTTTACTGGCAAGTTGACACAGGCTGTCACTCACGGTTGTCTCGAGAGTAAGTGCCTGCCCACGACTGGGCTTTCCTAGTCCGGAACTGTCATGATTTAACCTACTTGGGCTAGACCACATTTCATAGTTGCATCAATCCTTCAAAAACTCGTGGTCCAGAAAGGGAAGTTATCAAAAGCCACAGAAGTCGCCGTGACTGACTAAAAACACAACAGCCCTCCTTGGACCGGAGGCCCTCCGGTTTTTGCACCTTTCCTCGGAAATGTAAACCCTGCGGCAAATATGCCTTTTTACGATGCCCGTGCACCGGGAAAGTGTCTACAGCCCAGCTGCATGTGGTCGGAAACTTTATTTTCTGGAGCGTTGAAAATGCCGCATATCAGGATTCACCTTTTCGTCATTATATTTCGCCATGTCCCACACTCAAGTCAGTATTGACTTGGACTTGCGCCCATCTGCGTGTGAAGGCGACACCCTAACGTCTGCGTATCCGAGCAGAAGCAATACGCCAGATACTCCGCATAGCCATGATTTTGAGCCGTGCCTCGGTGGCCAGGCGCATGGCCAAGGTGCACCCGTATACTCTTGCGGGTGCTATCGGCGCACAACAGTCGACCCTGCACTTGCAGACATATCTGAACAAGACGAGAGACTTGAACGGTGTCATGCATGGTATGTGATTCATACCATGTCAGATATATATAGAGAGTGATAAGGAAGATATGAGAGACTGTCTAGCCCTCTGTCACTGAGTTACCTTTCTATTTTTCCTTTATTTCATTGTCTTGTATTTTATTTCTCACTTTTCAGATTTATTTTACCTTGTATTTTTATGAGCATGTGACCTTCTGTTTATTTCTCATTATTTATTTTTATTTGGCTACTTTCAGCCACAGATTTGTTTGTCAAAGTTTTGTATCTCTATTTATTTCTGACTGTTTATTTTTATTTGGCTTCTTTCAGCCACCAGATTTTATTTGTCATCACATCATGTGACTGGGAAATAATCTGGTTTGTAACATTATTAAAGCTGATTCAACATGTTTAGTCATGATTGGTCATGCTTTGTAACAACATTTAAACATGACTCAACATGTTCAGTCATGGTTGATCATGCTTTGTAAGTTCTTTGTAAGACACTGAACTTTGTTTGTAATGTACTTAGTAAGAAGGATGATTCAGCTCACCCAAAGGCTTGGTTTGTCAGCTTCTGCATGACCAATCCCTGAGAAGAGTCAGCACCTTTCTGTCATGCTTTGTAATTTCTTTGTAAGATTACACAGTATTTATAATGTATATTAGTAAAAGCTGATTCATCACCTGGTTTGTAAGCCACATTCTTACCAATCCATCTGACAGAATCATGCTTAGTAAGGGGATTCCAAAAGGTATAAAAGGACCCCATTTTCACCCATGAAATATAACTTCCCATTTTTCATTCTTCTCTCAAACCGTGTGAGAGTACGTAAGAATAAAAGTGCAGGCAACGTGCCTTGAAGTAAGACTAAGACACATCGTTATTCTATTCTAAAGTTATATACTACCTTACAGGGGTTGACTATATAACTTTCGTTATCATTATTTTACTCTAGGTTATATACTACCTTACAGGGGTTGACTATATAACCATTGAACAGCTCTCATTCTAAGCTTTACGTGTATACATAAGACTCTCTCTTTCAACGGAAAGTGAGACACATTTCTAAGGACGACAAAGTTGAAACACGACCTACTAGGCTGAAACAAACCTAACGAATTATCCAGAACACAGAACAATCCACAACACTTTGTATCAGACTACACAAGAAGAGGACAACAAACTAAATCCTCCCAAGAACTCACCACGTTACCTCCCACGAAGTAGAAAAGTCGGAGACCGTGGACTTAAGGACTGGCAAGAAGTCTTCACCGTGTATAATTGTGTTGTCATTATACACAACTTTTATATAAGACCCTTAAGTAACAAGACAGCACGTGAGTTTATCTACAAGTGCGGAAACACTGTAGACGGCTCAAAGGTTGAACAAACACTCGGAGAGGGTTCGTGGGTACCCACTATGGCAAGCACAGACAGTTTCGCGTAAATTATAATCAGCTGAGATCATTTGTTTTCAGAATCAATTCGCTAACAAGCTTGGAACGTTTGGCTTCGACCCATTCCGTATGCTGGTTGTTGACTTAATGCATGAATGTGAACTGGGTACATGGAAGGCGCTGTTTATGCACCTGATCCGGCTACTATACGCGCTTCCTGGGGGTCATCAGCTGGTTGCGACGCTCGATAGCAGGTACGCGGAGCTCGTACATAGTACTGATATCTACTAATGAGTCATCGACCTCACTGTAGATTCCGCCAGGTTCCTACCTTCGGGAATGGGGTAATTCACAGATTTGCGAACAACACCTCCAACATGAAACGATTAGCGGCCCGTGACTTTGAAGATATTTTACAGGTTTTTGGATCATTCATTTTCTTATTACGCTCGCTGACATGTTCTCCATCATAAGTGTTCTATTGCTGTTTTTGAAGGACTGTTCCCCAATGAGCACAATGCACTCGTGCAGTCCCTGTTGTACCGATTTGCGCAATGGCATGCACTCGCCAAGCTCAGGATTCATTCAGAATCCACCGTGAGTTTTCTCGAAGAAACGTTCAAGCAGCTCTCTCGGAAGTTGCGGAAGTTCCAACGTGACACCTGTGCCGCCTTCAGTACTACGGAATTACCGAAAGAAAAGGCAGCTCGCCAACGCAGGTTTGCTGAGCGCTCTGAACCCAGTATCGCCTCTCCGGAATCAAGCCAACCTAGAGTAAAGAAGTTCAATCTCGGCACGTACAAATTTCACGCGATGGGAGATTATGTGAGGATCATCCAGTTCTTTGGGACAACAGATTCATTCACGACTCAGTTGGTAAGTACCTGACATATTTTACTGTCGGCCTGAAGTTAAATTCGGCCAGGGCGAGCTCGCACACAGAATTCTAAAGGCATTTTACCCGCTGACTAGCAAGTTAGATACCCCAGCACAGTTAGCTAAGCATGAACGCAGGCGCCGTGTGCTTCGACGTATAGCAGAAGCAGGAGGCATATCCTCCGCTAATAGTCAATCGCCTGTTGATTACTCGCCTTCGATATCCTCTGAACACCATCACCATATCGCAATTAATCGAAGCAACCCAGTTAATATATTTGCATTCGTTCGAGCACACGACGGTGATCCGGCTGTCAAGGTAGAAGTGTGTGTATACACCTTACACGTTTCTCACATTTGTCGTCAGAATTTTATACCAAAGCTTAAGGATCACATCCTTTTCCGCCTGCGGAAGTTAGACATCAGCTATTGTGATCACACCTTCACAAACGAAGACCACAATACAGTTATCATTCCGAATCACACTATCTACTCACTCCAGACGATGCAGGTTCATTACACCACATACGACCTCAGACGTGAATACGATACTCTCAATCCTAAAACGCATGCTGATGTTATGGTTCTTTCGGGGGAGATGATGCCTCGTCACCCATACTGGTATGCACGTGTACTGGGTATATACCAGGTAGAAACATGGCTCAATGATGGAGCTCAACCTATGAAGCAGCACGTCGATGTTCTCTGGGTCAGGTGGCTGGCACCGCCGCAGAACTATCAATCCGGCCTGAACAAAGCTCGTCTTCCAAAGGTTGCGTTTGTGGAAGAATCGGACCCGGACGCATTTGGATTTCTCGATCCATCACAAGTGATTCGAGGAGCTCACTTGATTCCCGCCTTTGCCTCGGAACGTGGAACAAGCTCGCTTCGCCACGGAACATCATTGGCGCGTCCTGGAGGGGAGCTGGATGACTGGGAGGAACATTACGTGGGGATGTGAGTACATATCTTACTTCGTATATTGAATTAACCTTCAACGTTTGGGTCAGATTTGTTGATCGCGATATGTTTATGCGATATACCCACTTTGGTGTTGGACATCCGGTCACCATTCGGAAGTTAACTAGAGATTGTCTTCGCTCGGGGGCACCAGCTGACGCCATGGATGTTGTCAACCATGATTCAGACCAAGAGGAAGTCAGTGATGGCGAGAGTCTCGAGGAATTTGATGATGAGCAGGAGGAGAGTGATTACGCGTCTAGCGCCGAGGAGCTGGAAGATGAAGATGGGGGAGATGACGAGGATGAAGGAGGTAATGGATTTGATGACCTCTCCTTTTAAATTCATAATAGTTCATACAAAATGTGATCTGTTGAATGTTCATAATGATAATAAATCGCATCTGGACACGGTGACGGGCCGTTGTCTCCTACTATGATACTAGGGCAAACATGCGGTATTTCTATGTTGATATCATAACCTTCTCCCAACAAGCTCGTCAAACTTGGCTTCTTAACCATTAACGTTGTAGACCTTGCAATGTAGCTCTGAAGCTGCCACCGCTGGCAGAATCAGATGGCGTGCATTGTTTGTTCGTTTGTTGACAATGTCCTGTGTGACAGCTTCTGTCTGCACTGGCTTATCCGCAATCATAACTCACGGTATCCGATCCTGAAGCTTATCCATCTGTGGAGTTTGTAAGTCCTTCATTGCGTTTTGATGGTCTTTTGAATAACATATTCAGGGTTCTGATCAACGACTCATAGCCGTTTCAAAGGCAAGAGATGGAATGTGCCTACAACTCGAGAAAAAAAAGATCTACAAATGCTGCGCGGATAAATTGTTTCAAGTCTGGAGTGTGATATAATCCAGATGATTAGACATATGGGTCTGGCGCAGATGGTGAATCAAGTTGTTCAAGGGCCGGCCTAGAGGAAAGTGCAAACAGCCTTGAAGACTTACTGAGCATCTAGAAAAGCAGCTGTCCATGATAGGATCATATCAGGTGCCAGTGGAATGAGCCAGATACCAGCACCAAGGACTTGGGAGTTTACTGCGGCAATCTTGCAATCATCTCCTCCCTTCACTCGAGGGTCATTTGTAACGGGACTCCCGTTTGAGAGTCGCCATCTCCAACTTGATTCGAAACAAAAGGCGACAGAGATGGAGTACGATGACTACATGCATATGTCAAAAAAGGTGGCACAACTAGTTTCAAGATTTGTTTTGTGCTGAATTTGTACTCAGCTTAGGCAGGGAGCGGACAGTGCTCGAGGAGACGACACCTCTAAGCTCAAGAGTCTCGTCCCTGACTGGATCAATCGGGAACTCAAGCCAAATCCCCCAATTGACCGTGAGGATAAATACTGTCGTGGATTCGTCAACGATGCATGCGGCCAACTGCTCTGCCCGACCGAACTAGACTGGAACAATCCAACGTAAGTACTGAACTCAGGATCTTGCGCGATACTAACTATGTGTCAGTGTCAGAGCAGGAATCAGGGATCGCCTAGAAGGTTACATCGTGACAGAAATGTCCTGGCCAGCATTTCTTTACCAAGGGTACACTGCTGATGCGAACAACCTGGAGGAGGGTCTCTTCAAAAGCAGACTTTTGGTTCAGGTTCGTCGTATCTATGTATCTCAACAAAGCTCATTTTTGGTTGGCAGGCGTTTAAAGCCATATTCACCTCTTCCCCTCAAAGCAACAGTTATTACAGTACAACTACTAGTAAGCATTTAATGCTATACTTATCACGGACTGACCGCACACACTTAGACAAAATGGCTCACTGGCATAGCGGCCGCTCAGGCCAATGGCCCGACTATCCACCCAGTCACGATGACGGTGACCTATCCATCCACTCATCACTGCCTCAGCCGGCGCAGTGCAACACAGTACCGGCGAGCAGCCTCAGTCATCCTGTGGGGAACACCTCCCACTTGCAGGAGCCCGCAGGTGGTAGCCAGCACCAGCCTGGCATCATAACGCCCGATTCTTCCCACTTGCAATATCCTGCGGGTGGCAGCTACCCAACTTTGGGGCTGCAGTTACAGTTTCCTACAGGTCACGCGTTTCAGCAGGAAGCTTCTAACCAGTTTCACCACGGTACACTCAGAACGCCCTCCAGGGACCAACTCTTCCCCAAACCTCCCATTATCCGACCTCGTTTAACCCGACTATAAGTCAGGGCAATTCTGACTGCGACTATCGTGACTCGCAGTACGCAGCTAGCGGCCTGCACGAGCCCGAGTACTCTAATTACCAGACTATGCACTCGCAGGGTCCCGCACACATCAGCCACCAAAATCTGCAGTTCGAACCGCAGTCTTCTATGGTTGACTCATATCAACAATCCCTGAGCCAGGACTTTCATGACAGCTCCGTACCCCATCACACACCCCAGTTTCCGACCGATCTTAATCTGATTGGGGAATAGTGGTTGGAGTTTATCACCTATCCCTTCAAGTCCTATTCAAGAACACGAACGAGATTGTACCATCACACAAATGGGACGCGTCAGTGTTGCTATTGAATGATGATGACCTTGACGCAATCGTTCAGGTGAGCATGTATCTTAATGTTACCCTGCTCATATTTGATTTTCAATTCAGCGGATCATGAACGATTGGCAACTCCAGTCGATTCGCATACAGATTCGTTGAGCCCGCCGGGCACTCCGACACCCCTGTCTGGCTCCCGAGCGCGGTTTGGCGACCTGTCCAGAACGCCTGTGGTTACGAGTGCCACTCACCTGCCTCTCCACAGCAGTCCACCTTCCTCTCCCACTCTCAATCGTGCTGTGAGTCCTGCACGCTCAAGGACACCTCTTAAACAAGTCGTGGCTCCCGCATCCTATCAGAGGTTTACATCTGCATCTACATCTACATCAGATCTTCCCTTGAATTCCTCCAGTCCATCGACGGTATCAACTTCAGCCCGTATGCCTTCTGTGGATGCACCAAGGAGACCCTCAGTTGATGCGCCACGGAGAAGTTCTGTTGATACCCCACAGAGACCTTTTGATACCTCCCGAAGACTATTTGCAGAAGTGCCGTGAAAAGCATCTGGCGAAATCTCTCGAAGAGGCTCCATTGACGTGCATCGCCGACCCACGGCCTCCCCTGTGCCTAGAGCATGTTCCCCTCAGTCTACCGCGCATCCACGTGCTACATCACCTTCTCAGTGCACGCCTGCATGCGCCCAGACTCGCTTTAATATCTCAACTGCTTCCCTCATCTCTCCTTCCACTCCAGAGCAGCGTGAGGTTATACGTGCTACAGCTTCGCTTCTTTGCAAAGAATTACGGAAATCACCGGCGCATCTTGTACGTAGTGTTCCACAGAAGGAGTGGGCGGAAGTAGAGGTGCACATGCAACCCTTAATCAGGCTTGAACGTGTTTGGGGGAAGAGTGGCGGTGCCAGTGCCAGTTCTAGCCAGGTTGCTGGGGGTGACGGCTCCATGGTGCTTAGCTCAGCTGGGGAGGAAAGAGAAAGGAGGCTCTTCTGCGAGGCCCCTTCGAGATGGCGTTGTTCTCTGCCAGTAAGCCTTGACAGTTACTCCGACTGGTGTGCTGTTTAATGTTGCATCTTTTCAGGCTGATAAACATGCATTATTCTGGGGTCATAACTCGCATCGATCACCGTGAAGATGGTCTTAAGCAAACCAGCAACATCACCAGGTTTATTGCCGCATGCTCGCAACACGGTGTCCCTTCCAACGACATTTTCTATCGTGACGACGGTATCCAGGTGACCCCATAAACCCTTTGCCGTGTAGCATGTACCATCATTTCATTGATTAAGCTTTTTGAAGACCCTGGAGTCAGTCGTGCCAAAGTCATCGCGGGTCAAGGCAGGAAAGGTGCCATCGTAGCTTCAAGCAACGACCCTTACTCCTCGGCGATTTCTTGCGCCGCTTCTTCCACACCGAATCTGCTGCCACGACCAACCTCGGAAATTGGTGTGTACAATGGACTCCCCCCCACAGGCGGAAACTGATAGAAGTCGCCTGAAAAGATAACGACGATATCGCCAAACCACTTGTCCGGCCGTTCTTTGGCGAATCGGAGCGCATGATCAATATTTGCCAAGAGCTGCAAACCAACTAAAGACACCTCATCAACCAACAGATATTCCACATTCCTTGCTGTTCCTGTTCCCAATCCAAGCTGCAGAACTAACGGAATGCCGCTTCATTTGCACATGAAAGAGACGCATTGACTTCCGTATATCCTTCCGAATGTATTTGCAATCTCCGGTATTTTTTCTGCTCGCCACTGTTTGCTTCGCTTGTTCTGCCTAGTTTTTAGCCCCTGCTCACCGTCAAGGATTTGCCACAGAATATGTTAAAGCTTCTGGACAATCTCCACATGTTGCAGAGTAAAACTGAAAAGGGAGTCTTTCAACATGAGCAACCGAATCGGCATTACATTTCGCATGGCTTACATTATTTTCAGATGTTCTCCCACTTGTGTATTATCCACTGGAGTCTGAGCATGCTATGGTAAGTTTGGCATGATCCGATGAGGTACAGATACAAGAGCGTGCCCTTACGGTGGTTTCAGATCTTTGCGAGACAATTGATTACGCTGAAGTTTCTGGCGTACTGTTTCCCCAAGTGGCTGTAAGTTGCAAATGCGTCGTTCGTGAAAGCGCTGAAACTTGCATCGTGTAGCTGGTGTTCACAAATACGAGAATATTAACCGTGAAGCTCGTTCCTCAGCTTGGTAAAAATTCTCGATCAGGTTTGCATCACCTTGATATTTTTCTTAGACGTTCACATCTTCAATATAGATATATATCACGCAGAAACTCGTACTGCTGCTGTCGAAAATCCGCGCAAAGGAGCCCGCTGTTACGGTGAAGTATATAGGTTCCCGACACAGCTTGTATTTTCTGACAGCGTTTAGATGGCAACGCTTTCGGTACAAGAGGTTGTGGGTGTTAAAGGTTGACAGAGAAGCAGTGGCTACCCTTATCCTACCGCAATTGTGGACAATGTCGATGGGTCCTTGTGCGTATCATACATTATTTCCCGGCGGTTTGACCTGAGAACAATTATAGTCTTGAATATTTGAACAATATCAACACTTTATATTATCCATAGGCTCGGTGACCACGTGGAAAAGAAACACAGTCAGTTCCTCCGCGACTCGCAGAGGATTGAGTATCGCTCAGCAACGAACACCAATGGTGTCACGTCGGTCATGACTCAGGCTTGCTCAAGCAGACACGGTGTGTAAAGCATCTGCGGGTCTTGAAGAATGGCGAAAGAAGATTCTTGTTTCGGAGCGCGAACATTTCAGACAGACTCTATTAGACTCGTGTCTAACTATCCATACTCCAGCGACCTTGAAATGTACTGACTGCTCACATAGGCAGGGAATGCGACGTAGAGTCGCATCTTTTCAAGAAAATGTGTCTGCATCAACGACCGAACACGATATTTGGCTCCATTTAGCTCGCAAACACTTGTGGAAATTGGACAAGACCGAGGGACAGCAGACTCAGGTCGGTGAATTTTTCGTTATTAGATGCAAAACGATGATATCAATGATGGAGAGCCTCCGTGAATCGTTTGTGCAGGACTCAAGGTCTACTGGTCACGAGGAAGCTTCTCCAGCTTTCGATTCAGAGTTGTCGCCGTCCAGTCAAAACTCGCGTCTCCGAAATGAGCTTTAATCAAAATTTGACAAAACTAGCAGCGATCGAACGGCAAGATGTAAAAAGTAAAAACAGAAACATAAATGAGGACTACATATCCACCCATCGCTCAGATTCATCATCGTTTGCATCCTCAAGCCACTTCAAGAACGGCTCGCTGGCCTTCTTCACTTTCTTACTCGTCTCCTTATCGACGTACTTCTAGCTGACATGAGCACCCCACTGAGTCACCACGTCTTCTTCCAAGACTGCAGGTCAGTTCCATTCGACTCCTGGATATACTGATAGCGCTTACCATCAATCCGTTCGCGTTTTCTTCAATCCCAACATATTCAGTAACCAACTCCCGCACTTCGACATGACTCCGGCACTCCTTGCCTCTCCCGTGGGCCTCCGCACGAATTCCGCCCTCTTCCTTGTCGCTGTCTTCCTCTCCACGGCCCTCCTCGCCACAACCCTCCTCTCCATGGCCTTCCTCTTTGATTCCATCTCCATCCATACTATAGTGGTGCTGATCATTGACTCATCAACGCCCGTAATCAGATTTGGCGATGAATTGCTTACCGTATTTTGCGGTCCCACATAGGTAAGTGTTACGGTTTTTTCTTAACATTTAGATGATATCTTTTACGAGGTAGAGAAATCGATAGCGTTGTTTTCCTATTTCAGCGAGCGAAGCGTTCTCATACACATTATGTAAGCTACGCCAGTAAGAATGTTGCTTCTTACCTCGAGCTTAGTTGTTTGTCTCCAGCAATCTCAACGCTGCGTATGTGATCGGTTCGTCGTTCCAACAGTATGTTATTCACCACTCGCTCATTGACTACTGACTCCACTACTTCTCACAGTCCTCACTCCACCGCTTCACCTCTCACAGCCAGAGACAAGCAAGCTTCGTCAATACAATTATATCCGCGCCTGCGTCCAGCCGTTCCTCATCAACGACAAGCATTCTCAACTCTTCCTCCGAGCAGAACCAAGTCCTACCGGTACCAGACTCCCCTACCTCCCTTTAATCACACTGCTCACTCGCCCTTCCGCAGACTCGCAAACCCCGTTCTGTCTTTTTTTCAATCAACAACGCTCCTGCCGAGTACGGGATTCTCAACGTATGCGAGTTCAACTCGACGCGCAAACGTATGTCGATGATTGTGCGCATGCCCAGCGGTTCGATCAAGGTTTCCTGCAAGGGTGCAGACACCGTCATCCTCGAGCGTCTTGCCAAGGCGCAACAGTACACTGAGAAAACACTTATTCATCTTGAAGTTTGTTGCTTTCCCCTTCAGTATCACTAACGTTCATCGTGCTCACCCAATCAACCCACAGGACTACGCGACTGAAGGCCTACGCACTCTTTGCATCGCATACCGCGATGTCCCAGAGGCCGAATACCAGCAGTGGGCCTCCATATACGAGCAAGCAGCTGCAACGATCAAACGGCCGCGCAGATGCCCTCGACAGTGCGGCAGAGTTGATCGAGAAGGATATGTTTTTGCTTGGGGCAACAGCTATCGAGGATAAGCTCCAGGACGGCGTACCAGATACAATACACAAGTTACAAATGGCCGCGATAAAGGTGTGTTTGTCACAGACATTTCATGATGGTGTCTACGTTTACGATGCTAATGTGGTATGTAGATCTGGGTGCTTACGGGTGACAGACAAGAGACAGCGATCAATATCGGCATGTCTTGTCGGTTGATCTCAGAGTCTATGAACTTGGTAGGTTGGGACTGCGGCGAAGATATTCTAGTGCTCATATTCTACCTCTACAGGTCATTGTGAACGAAGACAACTCGCGTGATACTGCGGATTTTATCCAGAAGCGACTTTCGGCGATCAAACATCAGCGTAGTTCGGGGGGACTCGAAGATCTGGCTTTGGTCATAGGTCAGCGCGCGCACGAAATCAATTCATACCCTCTGAAACCCTTCCTTTGCAGACGGCAAAAGCCTAGGTTTCGCACTTGAGAAGGAGCTTTCCAAGTCGTTTTTGGAGCTCGCGCTCATGTGTCGCACAGTCATCTGTTGTAGAGTATCTCCGCTTCAAAAAGCTCTTGTCGTCAAGCTTGTCAAGAAGAACCAGAAGACCATTCTCTTAGCAATCGGTGATGGTGCGAATGATGTGAGCATGATCCAGGCAGCGCATGTGGGCGTGGGGATCTCTGGAGCCGAGGTACGTGATCATCAGTGTGCGACATTGCGTTTGTATCCAAAGCGATCTGTATAGGGTCTACAAGCTGCGCGGTCTGCGGATGTGGCAATTTCACAGTTTAGATTTCTCAAGAAGGTTCATTGCGCGTGGAGTTATCAGAGACTGTCGAAACTCATCCTTTGTACGTATGTTTGTTTATCTCCGTTTTACGCATGTTCATCACTAAGGACCAGACTCATTTTACAAGAACATTACGCTTTACATGACGCAGTTCTGGGTACGCATCCGCCCGCTCACTCGCAAATGTCTAGCTAACATCACCTTGTAATATTCCTTCTTCGATAACTTCTCAGGGCAGATTGCCTACGAATCATGGACGATATCATTTTACAACGTCATCTTTACCGTTCTCCCCTCTCTCATCATCGGCGTGTTTGATCAGTTCGTATCTGCACGGATTCTAGACCGATACCCACAACTATATGCACTCGGGCAGAAGAACGTCTTCCTCACGAAGAAAGCATTCTGGCTCTGGGTAGGCAATGCGCTCTATCACAGTCTCGTGAGTCTCATTCCAAAGCGACAAAGAATTCAGTGACGGTGGTGGTGATAATGGTGTTTCTAGATTTTTTTCACATTCGCTGTGATTTTGTTTTGGGGAGATTTGAAGCAAGCGACGGGTTTGCACTCTCGGCATTGGTTTTGGGGTGCCATGCTTTACCTGGCTGTGCTCCTCACTGTCCTTGGCAAAGCCGCTTTGGTTTCTGAGTGCATGTCCCTATTCTTGTCTTACCCTCGTATACTGATGCGTATTCTAGTTTGTGGACAAAATACACTGTTGCTGGTGAGCGCAAATCTTCCTCTATGAACAATCATCCAACCGACATCTTTTCCTCAGCGATTCCTGGGTCGTTCGTTTTCAATATGCTCTTCCTTCCTTTACACGCCGTTGTTGCTCCTGCCATTGGATTCTCTACCGAATACTATGGACTTGTGCCTCGTCTATGGATTGATGCTGTGTTTTATTTTGTCCTCATCCTTGTTCCTGTCGTCTGCCTGACCCGCGACTTTATTCGGAAATAGTACGTCCACACCCACTTGAGCGGGGTAACTATCTGATGCATTTCATATAGCTACCGACGAACGTATATTCCTCTTCCATATCATATCGCTCAAGAGCTCCAAAAGTACAACATTCCTGACTACCGTCCGCATCAAGAACAGTGCGTGTCACTTCAAATAGCATATGCTGGTCGATGCTAACCCCCTTATCATGTCAGATTCAAAAAAGCGATCAAAAAAGTCCGCGCCGTCCAGCGCATGCGCCAGAACCGCGGATTTGCATTCAGTCAGACAGAGAACGGTCGTCAAGATCAGGCAAAACTCATTCGTGCTTACGATACATCCAAGTCGAGCACACGACCGTCGGGATATTAGACACAAGAGAAAGCGTGATTTGCTCCGAGATCTGACGATTGTATTGTATAACTGAGACTAATTCATACATAGAATGATTCTTCGATGGATTTATTGTTGTGTTGCCGTTTTTGTTCGATGGTGATGGGACGACGTCAAAGTACTACCGTATTTTCGATTTGCTGCCGATCGATGTGAGCGATGGACAATCCTTATTGTGGAGGCGCATCAAAAGGGTGGTGCAAATTCGTTATCATCCCTTGACGGCTGTCATGGCACAAAGTCACGGTGATATCACACAATTGTATGGTAATATGTATATGATGGCTAGTGTACATATCAACTTCTATGAAATGGCCTTGAATGGCCCTGAAAGAGTATGGACCATATCTCAATAATGAAAACCGAGAAAAACGGTAACAAAAATACACTATCATCCCTTGACGGCGGTGAAGTTGAGAGGTCACAATTTTGTCACATGTTTCCAAGCTTCCATAGATATGATGACTAACGCTAAAGCCACTGTCCGTGAAATAGGCTTACATAGCCTTTCAATTTGACACATAAGAGCGAGAAATGAGAATGTTGAACAACCGGAATACAATTGCGTTACATGACCTTGCTAGCCATGGTGGTGCAACATCACCACATGTTTACCAGCGCCCATAGTAATATATGCTTTACTTCCGATGCTAATCCCACTTTGCGTGATAAAATCTTAGATAGGCTTGTAATTCCAACATTAAATAAGAAGAATGAGAATACTCAACAATAGGGATATAGTTGCACCACAATACCTTGTTGGCCATTATGTTGATGTATCGTACTGTTGTCATGAATGCCTCTAGGTAACTTAAATTTGTGGACATACATACCTATGTACGAAGACGTCAAATTTGCTAATGTATAAATGGTGATATTTGGCTGGAGCAAATTTATATATCTCTATAATTCTCATGGTTACAATATCGAGGACTTTTGAATTTACTGATGTACATACTAGGACAAGGATATAAATGTAAGAATGCACCCAAGCACATGCTCATTTCTGTATCCTGGTCGTCCTGCTCAAAGATGGCTGCAGTTAAACAGACTTATCCCGGTAGCGAACTCGATGCCCTGTTCCCCTCCCCATCTTCCCCGCCGAACGTACTTTCCCCTCCCCGGTATCCTGGTGCTTCCCCAGAAGCAGCTGTAGCTCTATCAGGTGTCTTGAAGGATAACTACACAAAGTACCACATTTTCTTCAACTACCAGCAGTTTCATAAGTGCGTATGTATCTAAACTGATCTGTGTCTCATGTTCCTGATTTGAGCGTCGATGAAGCCATATCACTCATCGTGCGCTGGCACTTTTCGCTATGGGCGCGAGTGGACCTCTGATCGAAGAGTTATATAAGCAAGACAGCGCCATTCAGCGCCCAGCAGTCAGGTCTCCCGAGGCTATCACAGAAGAGAACTTTATCGAACATGTAGGTGATGAAAAGTGAGTTTAAAATTGACGCTGCAACGCACAGCTCAATTGATTTCTTGTCAGCTTTTACGCCGCGTACAAATCCTTCTTCATCAAGGTTATCGAGGAAAAGACCCTCAGCGCCACGCTAGAGGAATATATCTTCTCTAAGAAGTACAACTTTATAGAGGGACGAGACGCATCCGCCCAGCCGGTGATGTTGGCGCGCTTCCTTGGAGGTTTTTTACACGCCTTCATCCATGTAGGATACGGCGCGGAATTATGCATCCCAGGCATGATCGTCGAAGGCGAGGAACGTGACACGTCATTGTGAACGAGTCCCTGACAGACACCAAAAGGTCTTGCATTGACCAGCGTGCATGGGCGTGATTTCTTACCATCGGATCTCTTCGAGCACAGCGGCACGACTGCAGTGGAAGAGCCCGCAACTCGGCTTGCCTCGCTTTTCCTTAATACAAAGGCATCTACTGTGTCCTCTCAAGTCGCACAACCGCCAAAAAAGCATGCATTCTCCATTCTCGCCAAGATCATGCAAGATCCGAAATTCACACCGAAGGTGATCAAGAAGTATTTTAAAAATTTTGGTGGCTTGATGTCCGAGCACGGCGATACCATATGGCAATACGCCGAACAATGGACGATCGACCCGTCGCAGCCAGGCGAAATCGAACGTAAGATGGAAGAATGTATTTGGATAAGCAGTATCCTCTACACCATTGGAGGATGGAACAAAGACGGAAGTTTCACAGCAGACTTCGTCTAGTGAGTGACGTCAAATCTGCCATTTGCGGAACAATATTGATTTTTGGGGTGCCCTAGCATGCATTGCGTCACCTCAAGTCTCTTCCTTCCATCCTTGTTGGCTTACCTGCCAACAAACTCGCAAGTTCTTCTACTTCGTGGATACTTTGCGACGATTCTTGGGTTGTATATCACACGCGGCTTCCCTAGACTGGACATTCGAGGCTTCCTCAGCGCCACCTCACATCTTCTGTCAGAAAACAAGGTCGAAAACTCATTCATCGACATCGTTGAGTCTGGAATAATGCACCCAAACGACCATGTGCCAAAGATTCAGCGCGCCTTTGCACATTTTTCTTCACTCTATGGCACGCGGCCCAAGGGCTACTTCAAGGATACGGAATTGGAGGGCGCAGATGCGCTGGATGGATCGCTCTTCCTTTTGGGCGCGAGATTGACTGACGAGTATATGAGGTATGGGACGTTCTGGAGCCTAGAGGGGTTTCCTGCGAAGGATTAGGAATGAACGAGGGATTTGGAATGTATGTGATACAAACGCCGCTGAACCAATGACTGTAATTTTATGTGCTTTTTATTCAAACTCGTGTTGATCGTCTGATGTCACCAAGACATGGCGTGTTATATTCATTCACAAGGGGCATGGATCTAAAAGGAAGTAATGATTGTCAAACTTATGTGGTAGGGTACCATGAAAAACATGAACTGAATCCTGATGCCCGACGCGCTACTATTGATCTTGTTTTTGATGAATTGATGCCCTGAACTGAGTGTACATGAATCCGATCATATACTCAAGTCATGTCAGGGTAACGTGAACGTGTTGATGAACTTCCTAATAGATTATTGAATGATGATCATTGCCGCATCTACATCTTAGTTAGCAAAAACCCTTATTCACAACACTTGCTATGAATATTGTTTATTTTATATATTAATAGGGTTTTCCTCTGCTGAGCGCTGTCAAAATACATTTATGCCAGTCAAGCATGGTGCCTTCCCATTGGCGAATAGTATGAATCTTGTCTGATTGTATTGTACTTCGGTATCTCGTCACTGTCAACGTTTCACGGCTGGACATTGCGGAATTCGCCTTTCGAGGTGACGTCGTTGATTCAACTCGGACTCCTGACTTGACGGCATATTAGCACAGCGATTAGTATGATTATTGTCTGGCGATAATTGTACTTCGATATCTCGTTATTGTCAACGTTGCACAGTTGGACACTGCGGAGTTTGCCTTTCGAGGTGACATCGATATCGTTGATTTAACTCGAATTCGTGACTTGACGGCATATGAGTTCTAGTGAGACGCCGCCGCTTTGCAGACACGTGCAGCAGACGGATCAGATCAGTGGCGCGGATGCTAGTAGAGCAAGGTGTCAGATTCCCTGACGATTTTTAGTGCAGTTTCAGGTCGCCTGTTGCTAAGTCAGGCCAACTATGAGGTTTGCCGTGATGTCGGGCGAAGAATGCGGATTTTTTTGACAGTATAAGCTCCGCAAGGACGTGGATATAGGCGCTCGATGTTGTCATGTGGAGTATTCCTCGCCTTTGGGTCTTCCGTATATGGAGGGTCGATGTTTATTTCGTCCATGTCACAGGACGTGAAAGTGGAAAGGGTCTTTTGAGAGTGAGCTTGGCGGACTTGTACTGTAAGTTGCGCCACTAGGAACGGGTGGGCGGGATGTCGAAACAGATGTTGGCCTATACCGGAAATCAAGATGCAGAAAGTTTGTCTTTCTGCCACAAATGGCTAGTTCAGGAGCTGTACTGTGTTACCACTCTTCATGTTCCGGCCGGGGCGCATCATCGATGCAGGTCCTGGCTGCAAACCATTATTGCTGGGTACTGCCCGCATCGGGAAGACGATGACGATCTCGTGGGACTGAAGTTTGCAATTGTGTGTGCAATGGAATGATAAATACGTCTTGGTGCTGGAACGACCACCGTTGGGGAAGGTTTTGTGGTGTATGCTGGTTTCTTATCTCAGATAGTAGGATCATCTGATCAGATACGTCGGTGAATCGGAAGGGTCAAGATGTAATGGGATAGCATACTTGGTAGGTGATGGCGATTCGAGCTCTGGATCTGATGCGCAAGATACATAATACTCACTAGAAGGATCCTACATATCTGCTCATTTTGATCAGTGGCGAGTGGAACATGCAGCACGTTGATAACATTCTTGTTTGGGACGAAAGAGGCCTTTAGTAGGTTTGTGTAGCATGTGCTTCAGGGACGGCAAGATCGTATTCTTAGCTGCAGCGCTGATGGCTCACTGTGAACGTCGTTTGTCCAGAACGGTTCCCAGCGGGTCTTGTCTAGAGATTTCCCACGGCGTGGTACATACTTTGAACCCGTTTGCTCGGCATATCTCGACGCAAACACTCGCTTTCGGGAACGCTTGCCCCATGCTATGGTATTGGAGAGTTGTATGGGATTTATGTGGAGACAGGAATCCGGTATGCTCCGAACCTTCCGTCGTTGTATTTGAATTTGAATTTGAAAGTCAACCCCGTCGGCTCTCTCACACTTCTCATTTTGTTCTCGACTTCTGTTTTCCACTGGTTTCGTCGTAAGCCATATATTCTCTTCCCGTGCCCTAACCGTCCAGTAGAGTGCGACGTTCCTTTGGAAAGTACCGTGTCGTGTTGCACGCGTCCTTGCATGTCCTCCACATTCAGTTGTGGATGTGCCCTCAGAATACCCCACATAAGTTTATTATCCGCAATTACATCTGTTCTAATTTGCTTCTCTTCAAAGCTTCTTTTGTTCTCGGCTGTCAC